TTTGACAGAATATTATTGGGCAAGTGTCATTTTATCTGTATCAGCATTCAACAACAAGCTTGAAAACACCGGAATTCCAACATGCATTAATTTAAGACAATACTTAAATAAATCAGATTTCAACATTGGAAATTGTTTCTCTCACGTCATTGTTTCGACACACGTTACAAAAGATGATGATGTTAAAACATTGATGGATAATCTCCGTCAAGATTTCAATAACAAATACAAGTTAAGAACTCCAATTGGAGAATTGAAATCACTAAAACAAGGCTCGCTTTTCCAAGCTAGTGTTAAAGGATTAGTTCCAGATATTTCACTCAATGGAACATTTAAGATGGAAAAACCATTCAAAGACATGCGAATTGATTTAGGAACTATTGATGGCTCTAATGCATCAATTCTTTGTTTCATTGGTTATTCAATTGTCAATGGCAATCAAAACACATTGTTTGGAAAGCTCCGTCATCCATCTGGTGATATCAGTGATAATGAAGCTAAAACATTGCTTTCGTCATTCCATTATGGTCTTCAAAACATTTCTCCTAATATGAAGATCGGCGAAGTATTTGACATGCTTAGAGATCATCAGATGAACTTCAAAAAGAGTTTACAAAAAGAAATCCAAATGATGATTTAATTATTTTAAATATGCCATGTGAAATGTTAGAGAATTAATTATTTTAATATCTAAATAGGAAAACATCGATTTAGGCTGAATGTTTTTGGTTCAAAAGCAGTATTAATTTTGTAGGTTTTAAAATTCATTGTTCCAAGGAGATATGTTTGTTTTCATTCAGTATAAATATACTAATTGTATATATGAATCCATATGTGGTCATATTGCTATATGATATTTTCTCTTATGCTTTTTATATTTCGAGAAAGAAGCACTTAAACTATCTCATAAATTGAGAGCTCTCCCAAAATTGAGAATGTATGCATGTGGAGACTTAGACTTTGAGGCTATGAAAGAACATGTTGGTTCTATTCAAGTTTTGTTAAATAATTGTATTTGTAATCTTCTATTTTTTTTTAATATGAAGCTATCTATATGTCATATATTCCATCTATATTAGCAGAGTTTTATTATGTGTTGTAACGAGTTTAAATTTGACTATTAAACTGTTAACTTTAAAGTCAGATGTATGTGGATGTATTTGTGCTCTTAAAAAATTCAAATGACTAAAAAATCAAAAGATTTTTTATTTTAGTAGTCCTTCCATAATGGTCTTCTTGGAAAATATGGAGTAAAAGAATTGGATACTGAATCGTTTGGAAGAATCTTACCAGCAGCCCATTTAACCAGTTCTTTTAATCCAGCCTCGCCAATGATCTTGCCGGCTCCTTTAATAATTGGACCCCATGGGATGTTGTCATAATCGATATCTGACTCCTCTTCTGCATTGAGATATAAGCGATATGGTTGATACATTGAATCGGATACTGAATTGTTTGGAAGAATCTTACCAGCAGCCCATTTAACTAATTCTTCTAATCCAGCCTTACCAATGATCTTGCCGGCTCCTTTAATAATTGGACCCCATGGGATGTTGTCATAATCAATATCTAACGCCTCTTCTGCATTGGCACTGTTCCTGTGAAGTCTATCGATTAGTTTGTCAATGATAATCCCACCAACAATATCGACTGCTATACCAACTAATGGTGGGAAATTGTCAGGGTCAATTGTTGATTCTTCAGCGTTTCTGGGGAAGTATCTTGGATAGAACGGTCGACTAAGTTCTTTCTCAGCGGCATCTACTAAATGTTTTAAGAAGTCTGGACTAATCATGTTGGTCTCTTCATCGTTTGATGAATACTTTAATGGAAATGGATATGGTCTAATTGGCCAGCGGCTGGATGGTTGCCGTCCAACCTTTAAGACGCGTGAGGCTCTTGATGATGCAAGGATAGCCAAGGCGAACATATTAAATAATGATGATTTTGAATTATTATCAAATTTCCTTATGGTGCGTGTCAGATCTGACAAACTTTATATTTGTGAAATACAACAAAAATTAAATGATGAAAACCGTTTTAAATCATTTGTTTATATTGCTATTCACTGAATTTATTGAATAAAAAAAACATTAAAAAATTATTGTTTGTGTATATTTCAATATTCAACCATTCAAATTTTTTTGGACCTTTTTTTCTATCAAATCATAATCCCAAAACAATTTGAAGGGTGTGATATAGCGAATATACCTCAAATTTTTCTGAGGCAAAGCTCAGAAAAAATTGAGGTATATTGTTTATATTCCAGAATTTGAAAGTATATCTAAATTTTCTTTACTCGATGATTCAAATCGATTTGTTTGTTGAAAGATATGACGAACTTTTTTTTATCTTTCTTTGTAATATTTCATAGGATTGAAAATGAAACTTGCTTTTGATCTTCTTAGATAATATTATCCATATTGGCGATTGAATGATAATTTTATTTATTTTTTATTTATTTTTTGAATTAATCAGACAACCACGTCTATTCAAAATTTCAATACATCTGATTCAAAACCATTAAAGGCAGAATCGCCAATATGGATAATATTATCTAAGAAGATCAAAAGCAAGTTTCATTTTCAATCCTATGAAATATTACAAAGAAAGATAAAAAAAAGTTCGTCATATCTTTCAACAAACAAATCGATTTGAATCATCGAGTAAAGAAAATTTAGATATACTTTCAAATTCTTGAATATAAACAATATACCTCAATTTTTTCTGAGCTTTGCCTCAGAAAAATTTGAGGTATATTCGCTATATCACCCTTCAAATTGTTTTGGGATTATGATTTGATAGAAAAAAAGGTCCAAAAAAATTTGAATGGTTGAATATTGAAATATACACAAACAATAATTTTTTTAATGTTTTTTTTCGCATGTCTTTGAATGGTTTTTCCATCTTAAATGTTCCATTGAGTGAAATATCTGGAACTAATCCTTTAACACTAGCTTGGAAAAGCGAGCCTTGTTTTAGTGATTTCAATTCTCCAATTGGAGTTCTTAACTTGTATTTGTTATTGAAATCTTGACGGAGATTATCCATCAATGTTTTAACATCATCATCTTTTGTAACGTGTGTCGAAACAATGACGTGAGAGAAACAATTTCCAATGTTGAAATCTGATTTATTTAAGTATTGTCTTAAATTAATGCATGTTGGAATTCCGGTGTTTTCAAGCTTGTTGTTGAATGCTGATACAGATAAAATGACACTTGCCCAATAATATTCTGTCAAATTTTTGATCTTTCCGTTAATTTTAGTTAGTATGGGTAAGTCGTGTACTGAGGCACTGCGCGCCTCCGTACACCACTTAGCGGTTTTGACACTTTACGAAACCGTTAACGTATATTTTACAACACAAACGACAACACTAACTTAACCTTAAATATTTACAAAGCCGCCAACCACTTCACCTCACTAACGACTTCGCTAACGAACTCACTAATGAAAAAATAAACGTTCTCATAAATTTTCTTCTATATCTTCATCGTCAATGTTAACTCTATTGTAGTCATACTTGAAGTCATAAAGTTTCTCAAGTTTTGAAATGCATAGTCTTGTTAACTTACCTTCATCATCATAAGTTTTTATAAAACTACCATGACAATCTTTATACACAGTCAATGAAAAGTCAACTGGTCTCGGATGTATTTGAAAGAACATGTTATACTCAGGAAGGAAGAATAAATGTTTAAATGTATGTTTGTTATATTTTTCGATTTGTATGAGTTGCTTTTGTTCTGTCATTTACATCCAAATAAAATAAAAAATAAAATAAAAAATAAACTTAAAAAATTAATGATATCACCACCCTCACACGTATGAAAACATAGCACAAAAATAAATTTAGGTGAAGTGGTGAGATCTCACCTCTTTTTTCACCTGTTTTTTCACCCTGTTGAATTCATTGCTTTATAACTCTCTTCCTTGGTTTCTTTTTAGTTGCTTTCTTCACGTCTGTCTCCAACTTGACTGTCTTTCTTCTTCGTCCGTAATGATACCAGTTACTTCCACCAGTCAATAGGTCAAATGGTCTTTCGTAAGGGTTTCCATACATTCCATAGGGACCATACGGAAGAACTACTGGTGGAGAAGAAACATTTTCTTTAGTTCCATCGACTCTATTTAAATGTATTGTTTCACCTTTCATCTGGTCATTAAAGTCTTTTGCGTGTTTTGCAAACTCATCGTCCTTTCCTAAAGCATTTTCTGACTCAGTCGCAACCAAATTGGATGCTTTATTTATGAGCCCTATTTTATTTAATCTTAACTTCTTTGCAACCCAGCCTCCAATCTTTCCTTTATTTGCATCTAATGTCTTCGAAACCCTTCCTCCACTCATTTTATTTACTGCGTCATAAGCTCCAAGTGCTTTTGCTCCAAATGCTAATGCTTTTGTTCCCATTGCGCCTAAAGCTGCCCAAGCTACCATTTACATCATATTAAAATCATCTCTCTTCAATATTATCTCATAAAAGTTCTCGTTACCGGAGAAAGTCAATGAAACATAAGCGTTCTCACGGGCTTCGCCCTCACCGCTTTGCGGTCTATCTAACTTATTTCTTATATCATCTATACGCTTCAAAATGTCTGAACAATTGCTAACATCTTCTACAACAGTTATTTCATCATGAATGACCTTCAAGAACAAACTCATTTAATATGCTATTAAAATCATTTCAATAATGAGTCCATCCTTTCCGTCTTTGGGTAGCACAACATCTTTCATTGAAGAAGGTTCGACAAGTCTTATGTTAAACTTACTGACAAAGTTTGTTATACTATAATGCTTCGGCGGCGAATACATGTAGTTTGAAAGACATAATATAGATTCTTCAGCAAATTCACTTATACTGGATTTTATAACAATGTTCTCACGAGACCAAATACCACCAATTGACAATCTTGTAAGCAATCCTGCTGAAACCTTCTACTGTAAACGTCGATGGTAACATTCCACGAAGGTCATCTATTGACATCGTTGAGTCACTGAATTTAAATATTTTCTTAAAGCAATCGTCATTATCTAACCATGCAATAGCTTTGAAGTTTTCATTCGAATATACATCTGCTTCATTAAATGTAAAACCTGACTTCTTTGCAGAGATGACTTTAAAATCTATTGAGTTTGTTTCAAAATTATATGCTATGGTAACTTCTGAAGGTAATGGATGTCCTTCCGCAGTCAGTTGTTCTCTCACTACCGTTTGAAGCTTTGTATTAAAAACTTTCATGTCATCTCCTGTATCTAAGTTCACATACACAGCAACAGGAAAACTATCTTGCTTCTTTGTTTCATCATTATACCTCAAAACATTAAAGTTCTTCAATAATATTGTTCTTCCTGCTGGAATACTTCGAACCTGTCTGATTTCAATAGCTTTCTCACCTCCTACATACTCTACCCAGTGTCTTGGATATTCATAAGTATACTGACTTTCTTGAATTTTGGTAGGTTTCATCATAACGTGTTCATAGTATATCTTTATACTCTTGTCAGTTAGACTCGGTGCTATGTTCTGAATATTTCTGACTTGCATTTTTAATGGAGATAAAATGAAGCATTTAATACATGACGTAGATGAAGACATGAATGAAACTACAGATAAACTTAACTCTTCTCTCATTCTTCCTTTCAGTAAGGACTATGAGTTCTGTTCAAATGGTGTGTATTTCTATTGTGGAAAGATGGGTTCAGGTAAGACATTTAACCTCATTCGTCATATACTCATAACAGAGCGTTTAGGTCAAGATTCATATTATGACCAAATCATTATATCAGCAACTTCAGACTCTATGGACTCAACAGCGAAAACATTTATGTCAAAAGTTCAAGCCTCTGTCGTTAAAGTTCCAGACAGTGAACTCATTGAATTTCTTCAACGTTACATTCGACGTAAGAGGAAATATTATGCCATCGTTGAATTTATACAGTCAGGAATGCAAAAGACTTCTGAGGAGATGGAAAGAATTATTGACAAACACCACTTACGTCAGTACTCAGGAGTTTACGATATGAAACGACTTACAAACTACATTCTGTCAAAACTTTCAAAATACCCCTTCAAAAAATATCCATCAAACACTTTATTAGTTTGCGACGACTTCGCCGGAAAAGGTTTAGTTTCAAAGCCTGACTCACCATTAGCTAACATCATTACTAAAGTCAGACATTACCATTTAACTGTAGCAATACTTATGCAAACATGGAGGTTTTTAGCTTTAAACATAAAACGTCTCATAACTGACTTCGTTATCTTTCAAGGTTTCTCACGTTATGATATTGAACTCATTTGGAAACAGTCAGGTATAACATTACCTTTTGAAGAAATTTGGGAAGCATATAAGTCTCTCATCTCTCCTCGTTCATACCTTGAGATTCATATCATGACTAATACCATTAAAGTCAAAAATATTCCATGGGAACGACCAACATTGTTTTAAAGTTTAACCTTCAATTGACTGATGGTAAACAAATTCCATGCATCTCTGTCGCCATTTCTGTTAATATTTTTGCTGTCATTCATATCATCCACTTCCCATCCGTTAACTTTTGAGGATATGCGTTAGAATAGCTGTTCTTAAATGAAGGCTTTTCACCTTTGAGAGCATAAACTCTATAACTTTCTGCATACTTTATGTTTGAACCTCCTGAGCCATCATTGACATAAATTTTATAGGCTTCCACCCTTTGTTCATGTTCCTGCTTCTTCCCTTAGCTCTTTTGTTCAGTAGTTCTACATCTTTATACACAGCTCCTATCTCAGTGAATTCAACAATATGTTCATTCGTTAGCTTTACATTCAAACCCTTGTCGAGTATATTGTTCATTTCATACATATAAAAGGTTTTATTCTATATGAAATGAGAAGCAAATCCATCTTAGCTGGTGCCGTTAATGTTCCAATTGAACCAACATCAAATGTTGACTCACGAACGACAAACAATATTGTCATAAAGAACTATAGTTCAGAGTGTTTGAAAGAAAAAGAACCAGAACTTAAGTCGGTGAATTTAAACTCAGCTTCAAACGCTAACGCTACATCAGATGTTAAGTTAGAGTATCCACCACTGGACCAAATTCTTTCAAGAGAAGCCAACGACAACCCTTACACAAATGTTCAAACAAATCCTTCAGATAACGTAGACCATTACCTTCTTCAGTTATACCAAACAATTTACTCAAAGACGATAAGAAGCTTTTGGTAAATCTTATAAGCAAGAACCAAATAATTCTAACAAAGGAGGACCTTGAAAATGTTATCTCACGAATAACAGGGAAACAATGTGTCATTGACTATCTCGACCCTGAAATCGAATGCTGTGGTCAAACTCCAATATTCATGAAAATAGGTAACATCCGCATCATTGAAACACCAGGTACTCCAGGAGTTGAGTTTAAGTATAAATATTCGAACGAGTATACAAAACTATCTACTTACTATAAGCTTTGTTTGAAATATGTTTAGTAAATTAAAGCAATTTGTAATATCTATCCAAAACTTCTTCAACAGTATCGAACTCATCTTCATAATGCAAACCTAATCTTATTGACTTGGTGCAGTTTTCACTAACACAATATTTTTCTGTGCTCTTGACTGACATAACTAATTCATTTGTTTCATCAAACAGCAACAACCAAAGTTCATGACCTAATACATAACATTCATACTTTATATTTTTAGCTCTGAGTTCTCTTGTAAGCTGTTGCATTTAATATTTTCTAAAAAGTCAACTTCAACAGTCATTCGCACTGGTGCCTTCAGTTCTACAGGCTCTCCTTGAAAGTCAACAAGTCTGAATTGCATGTCTTTCAAATTATGAGGACTAATGCGAACCCATTTACCTAAATGAGTTGCTATGACAGGAACGTTTGGAATGAACATTGAATTGACTGCATAACAGAAGGATTTATATTCTACTGAACCTTTACTATTAACTCCTGAAATGCCTGTGACATTAGCTATTTTAGACTCAATGTATAAACAATTACCATAACATACGTATGGAACAGATTTCATCTCAATCGTTTTGTCAACACTTTTCAAAGGAAATGTCATATGGTATGCACCCAAAAGAAGTTGTACTCTATGACTCATTCGTGTTATCTTAAACTCCTTCGCATAACCGAACTTCAAAACTCCTGCAATAAGTTTAACATTCATTAAGTTTTCTTCGTTATCCTTGTTTATTGTAGTATTTATGAGAGCATTTAACACTCCAGCTAATGTTTCCATCTTATATTCTACATTATTGTGAAATCTTATTTCGTGCTTCTTTCCATCTATTTCAATCTCCATGAAATCTGTTTCATCTGTTATAACGAATGAAGCGATAGTATTGAAGTCAACCATTCTGAATGCAAGCGCCTCATTCTGTAGACCTAAGTTTGTTTGTAGCTTTACTGTCCCGTATTCGTTTGGGTCTGTACTTTGCAAATAGAACAACATTTTATTCTCATTAAAATATGAGTATAGCTGCATATGCGTATGAAGCTGACAGAGCTAAACGTTTATATTTTGGTCAATACTCTCTCACACTTACTGACAAATATATTGTTATCACTGATGGAAATACTGAGAAATACATAACATGGAAGGACTATGAAAAGTTTGACCCTATTTTAACTCCATGTACTATGCCGTTTATAAAGGACGGTGAAATTATTGAAAAAGATAATACAACCGTATATAGGTCTGTTTATGAAGCATTAGAATATATGTTGAATCATAACCCAAAAAGATTTGACCCAAGCACTACACCATGTGCAATGCCTTTTATTAAGGACGGTGAAATCGTAAGAGTTCCGGATTCAACAGTTTACACAGCTGTTCAAAACAGTTTACAAAACATTTTAGCGAATATCTTTAATTCAGAAACTACAGAAATAAAATTACCATATATAACAGATGCTAAAGAAATTAAATCAAAAACGACAACATTATTTACGTCACTTAATGATTTAATGACTTATATCATTAATATTCCTGCACCAACTACAGCATTTGATCCAAACTCGACGGTTTGCAGTGTACCTTTCATAAATGACAGTTCATTAATTACTTTAAGGGATTCGACAGTAAATGAATCATTAAAGGCGTCATTAATGAAAATCATTGATTTTAATTCATTCACGAATACATATAATTCATTCATTAATGTTTCATATGCTTCTAAAGAAGGTGAGCCAAAAACTATCGATAAAGCGGTGTATGAAATAAAAGCATCAACGACGAAATTGAATTCGTTAACTTTTGACGGTGATAGTTTCGTTAATGACATAACATCGGGGAAAACAATTTTAACGAAAGAATATTTAAAATCTCATGTTAGTGAGTTCGTTGAAATTGAAAAAGAAGGTGGAATTAAGTTCGATCCACTGAATTTCATTTTCGCTTCAGCGAATGCGGGTGTTAGTTTCGCTGAATGGACAACTATACAGAGTGAAATAAATGCAATATGGACGTTTTTGGGGTCAAAAGCGGGAATGGGTGAGCTTGTAAATGCTGCAAGAACATTAGGTGAAACAGGAAATTTTGTAGATGGTTTTAAAAGACTTGTTTCAAATGTTTTAACAAACACAAAGAAATTATTTAGATATACCGTACATAACGGACGGATTTTCGAACAGATAGCAACAAACCCTCCGGTTATGGCTGCGTTGATGATGGTTAGAGATATAAAACCACGTAACGACGGGAACGAAGAACATGAACAACAGGATACTGGTCGGGTTATTCGAGACATTAAAAACGTGTATCCTGAAGTTATTGATTTATTTAGAGGAGTTAATGATTCAATTTCAAAACATTCTATAACCCTCGATGAAGAGAATAAATTAACAGATTATATATTCGTCATTATTGCAGAATTAATGAAGAGAATAAATGAAAAAGGAATTGGTGATATCATTAATGTCAGCGATGTAATGATGAAAAGAAATTTTGACTCATTATTTACAAAACCGAAAACAGAATATAGTCTTTATGACGTAATTACCGAATTAATGAAAAAGATTAATGATAATAAGAGTTCTGGCGGAAGAGTTGAATTAGAAGTGAATGATGTTAATGAGAAATTAGCCGAAAAAGCAGACAAAAATGAGCTTTTAGCTCTGAGTGATAAAGTCAAGAATCACGTTCATTATATAACTTCAGACGAACAGATTATAACGGACTACCATGGATATTTAACACGAAGTGATGAAGCGAAAACAAAAAATGTTAATGAAAGAAGATATAAATACATTCGTGCTAAAGGTTATGACATAAGCTGTACTGTACAGTATGATGTAGCTAAAGCACCAGAAGCATTTGGTTATACCGGTGAAATTTATGCCTCTACTTTCAATGTTAACGGTGTATTAGTTGAACCAAGATTTACTTTGAGAGTTAAGGCAAAAATAACTTTTGAAGATGCTATTAAAAGTAAAGCCAGCAAAGATGAACTTGAAGCAATGAACAAAGTTTTGAAATCTCATAAGCACAATATCTCCGATATAAATGAACTTCAAGCTACATTAAATAGTAAAGCTGACAAGAACCATACACATGAATCCTTCACTACTGTTAGAGCAGACGACATAATATTGAACTATACCCTCGGTTCAAGTGCACCTTTAGAGAATCCGAGTACAAGTGTAAAAGATACACTAAACAATTTAGATAACAGATGTATGAACATTGAAGGTCATGCCAGAAACTTTGAAGCATATGAACTACCAAAAATGTTAGATAAGAAAGCTGACAAAGAACATACACATAAATCCTTCACTACTGTTAGAGCAGACGACATAATATTGAACTATGATTTGGGTTCAAGTGCACCTTTAGAGAATCCGAGTACAAGCGTAAAAGATACTCTTAACAATTTAGATAACAGTTGCAGGAATATCGAAGATCATGCCAGAAACTTTGAAGCATATGAACTACCAAAAATGTTAGATAAGAAAGTCGACAAAACTTATGTAGATGAAAATTATGCAAAGAAGTCGGAAGTAAATGCTGCGCTTAATGGAAAAGCCGACAAGAACCATACACATGAAGAATTTCAAACAATCAAGATTAAAGAAATTAAAGCATGCATCGAAATAGTAACAAAAACAGGAAGAAACGGTGCAACTGTACAAGAACAAAGAATTTATCCTCCTACTTTTCCTAATGGTTTAATAACAAACAATATAAATATTGTAGATGGCAATGGATTTATAAATGTTAAACATGAACTTCAAACAATGAAGACTCAGGTTCTTGAAACCATATATCCTATAGGCTCTATTTATACGTCAATGAACTCAACAAATCCAGCAACAGTTCTGGGTTTTGGTACGTGGGAACAGATTGTAGATAAATTCTTATACTGTGCTAACTCTTCAAAGCAAACAGGAGGTTCGAAGAAAATTAAAGAAGCAAACCTTCCACCGCACACTCATACAGGAACGACAAACACAACAGGTAATCATTCACATTCAATAACAAAAAGAGGTTATACAAATCTTGCAGCAGGTTCGGATAGACAGGGAATGCATAGATATGATATTTCAAGTGACCCAGTAGATTCAAGCGCAGGTATTTTCTGTGGAACCGCAGGAAATCATTCACACACTTTCACAACAAATCCAACAGGCTCGGGTGCAGATTATATGCCACCATTTGTGACTATATTCGCATGGTACCGCGTTCAATGAACGCGCTTGAGCCTAGAATAAAATCTTTAACTTTACATAAATGAGCTTGAAAGAAGTATTCGAACAACATCCATGGAGGTCATTTAAGAAGTTCAATGAAGCTGCAAAGAGTTGGGGATTTACTAACAGAGCTGAAGTGAAAAGGTTCTTTGACAAAAATGTTGTACATCAAACAAAAATAAACCCTTACGACTACTTTTTACCAATTTACTCCAACACTCCTGACGCATACCAATTTGACACTCTCATTCAAAGCAGAAAAGGAGGACATAAACCATTCCTCATCTTCATTAATGTTAACACTCGTAAAGCATATGCATATCCAATGAAAAATAAAGGAACTCGTGAAGTGTTAAGAGTTTTACAAAAGTTTGTAGCAGAACATAGCCCAAGTACTTTAACATCAGACCAAGACAGTGCATACCTCAGCAATGAAATCACAGATTTTCTCATTAAGCATAACATAACTCACTACACTACTGAAGACCATAACCATAACATACTCGGCATCATAAACCGCTTCATAAGAACGCTCAGAGATTTAAACCAAGAGCGAGACTTTACCGAAGAAACAATGAAACATTTCATCGAAGTTTACAATTCCTCAACACATTCTACAACAGGGCATACACCAAATTCAATGACACAACAACAAGAAGAAAAGTATATACAAAAGAAACGAAGCCAAACACAAAATATCAGAAATTCAACACAATTTACCCTCATTCCTGGTACAAAAGTTCGTGTAGTTCTTGACGACAAACCGTTGACAAAGAAACGTTTAAGGTTAAGTAGAAACTATTATATCGTAGACTCTACGCAAGGTAATGGATATCTTATAAAAGCTGCTGACGACTCTATTGCGTTTTACCCTCGTCACAAATTAGTCGAAAGTAGTAATGGCAAACTTGCTGAAACCATTGACGAAGCAAAGCGAGGAGTGGTTATTGAAATACTTGGCTACAACATAAACGATGACACTTATAAAGTAAGATATGAAGGAGGCGTTGAAGATGTTATACCATCTAAGAACTTGAGAGAGTCAAAGCCAACACATCTGGGACCATTAGAGCGGGAGTACTGGAAAGACAAAAATAAGCCAGAAAGAATAAGAAAATTCTTCTAAACTTTTTCATTAGATGTAAATCAGACATGAATGAGAACAGTCATGATATCATTAATGGTACCATTTATTTTAACATAAATTTACACCAAAAATATATTTTAGGTGAAGAGGTGAGATCTCACCCGTTTTTTCACCCTCACCGCTTAGCGGCTCAGATTGCTTTAGCTTTCTCGTGAATTTTCATGAATTTCCTTAAGATAGAAAAATAAAGTTAGTTTTATTTTTATTTATTTTTTTATTTTGTATAAAAGATATGATTTCAACAATCGGCACAACAACAATTCAAACAACTACAGCACCAAACTCGCTAGTCATGAATCCTACGTCAATGTTGGTAGAGATGAAAAGCTTTATTCCTTCTTCATATACTTTTGAAACAGAAATCCAGAAGATAAAGCAAGAACTTTTAACAAGTAATTTAGACTGTAGTGCGAAAGATGAAACAAATGAACAGTATCTTTATGAAATGCAGGACATTATTGACCATTTACCCAAATTGCCTGAAATCCAACAGCAAAAACTAACTATTCCTGAATTCGACGAAATAGAAGTGAAACCAACTGACTCAGTAGAAATAAAGAAATTCATACGTAAAGTAAATTATGAGTTTCTAGGATATCATTGCAACCATAAAGTTATGGACAAAGATTGCGACATGGTTTATAAAAATATTTCTGACATATATAAATCGGTGGAATTTAAGACATATGATAACTTTGTTTCATTAGTTGCAAAATGTGTTTGGGAAATAAGAGATAAAGATAGAAGAGGTAAGGTATGGAATGAACAGTTAAAACCAGCAGCTTTTGAGTTAAAGAAAACCATTGACGCCTTAGTTGTTCTAGCTGGTTTTATTTCAATGTATAACGCAAAAATGAATCCGCAATGTTCAAAATGTAAAGCAGCAATAAGAAAATATAACTACTCAGTCAAAGAGATAGAAAGAATGCGAAACGACTATGCAGACTTAAAGAAAGAAGCAGAAAAGCCAGCAGAAGATAAAATGGATATGTTGACATTTCTGAACAAAAACTATCCAACTGCAGAAGATTTCCTTCTGTCTGACGTCAAGAAGAAATATAAAGAGACTTTCGGCATGATTAAAACATTCGATGTACTAAAAGAAGAAATTGAAGCTACGAAATTGTTTAGGATTTCAAATATACATCGTACAATTCATGTAAAACGCTTGTGAAAAAAGAGGTGAAAAATTAGGTGAAAAAAGAGGTGAGATCTCACCTCTTCACCTAAAAATTATTTTTATTGAATTCAGCACAAAAATAATGAATTTCATTAGTTAGAAAAATAACGCTAATTTTATTTTTATTTATTTTTTTATTTTGTATGTAAAGACAGTAATGACAAACATTGAGTTTGAAACAGTTAGAAAGATAGACAATGACACCAAAGTGGTTAGAATAGGTGATTTAAACGTAAGATACTCAAAGAAATACAACAAATATTCTTTGTCAGACATTATATCTCCATCTGGAAAGAAAACAAACGACTGGGTTAGAAATGCTTCAACTCAGAAAATTTTGACAAGAAATCCTGAGCTTATGATATCAGTAGCATTTCATGGAACAAGAGCATATCTTATAGACAAAAGTCTTATACCAATAGTTTTGTTATGGTTAGACCCAGTTGTTGGATATAACTTCATAACATATGGTTCATTCGATACGGAACGTTGCAGTGAAGGCTTACTTTACATCGTTCAGAAACCGAAGGACTTCAACACAAAAAGATATAAGATAGGAAGGACATATAATATAACTCAAAGATATGACAGTACAGTCAATAGAGTCAAGGTTGTGTTTGTTAATGATATGAGAGCTGCTGAAACAGAACTGCTTGAAGTTTTTGAGAAAATGTATGGTGCTCCCACGAAAGGTAAAGAAACGTTTGAAGTAGATGAGATAGATAAAGCTATAAAATTATTTGACGAAGTTGCTGAAAAATACATGTAAAGCGTTTATTTTTGGTCTTTTGTGAAAGTCAGAAAATAAAGTTAGTTTTATTTTTATTTATTTTTTTATTTTGTATGTAAAGACAGTAATCAACATCAGAGAACACAACAACAGTTATAGTCCATGAAGCATAAATGAAGAATACGAGTACATACAGTATAACAAACAGTTACGTCTCATTCGTTCAGTCAAAGATGACATGTACCAAATGCAAAGTATAATGAATGCTCTTCGTTCTACAAAGCAAGCATATCATTGGTTTGAAAACCAACAGACAAAAGAACTTTTAGAAGAATTTCCTCATATGATTGCTTCCCTCGGAAAACTGAGAGAAGAGATTCCGTATGAAAATCGCAAGAATTTGGCTCCTGGTTTGAAAGGTTATTATGTTCATAGACTTTTAGTAAACGCTGTAGCAATATGGGCTTCACCTCGTTATGCTTGTTATATTTTCATGATGTTAGATGAACTATATAAAGCAGAACGTGGAGAGATGGAAAAGAAACTTCAAGCAAAAGATGAAGTCATTGAATCCAAAGACAAAAGCATACAGAAAAGAATACCGCGTTCAGTACCAAAAGGAAAGGAAAAGAGTTATAGGTATATGATATATACTGAAGAATTGGAGAAAGAAGAAGATAAAGATATGGTTATGTTACATTTAGTCAGAAGAAACAACAAGAGCTTTTATGACTTAGCTAAGATATATAAATCTGACAGAAACTGGTTCTATCGTGAAAACTTACCGATTTCAATGACACCGAATGAGCAAATAAAGGAAATTGTCAAAAATACTCTTCCTCAAACACACTATGACATCAAAGGTTGCACAATACTTACATTCAAAGAAGACTTAACATTACTGAAGGAAAAAATAACAGAATATTTCGATAACTTCAAAGAGGAAGAATGAAGTCACGACAACATTAATGATGAAGTCACGACAACATTAACGAAGAGAGAATGAGGTGAAAAAAGAGGTGAAAAAACGGGTGAGATCTCACCTCTTCACCTAAAATATATTTTTGTGCTATATTTACACTCATTTACGAAGAAGTCATGAATCCTACGTCAATTATGTTCGACACTGATAACATTAACGATAACATTAACGATAACATAAACGATAACATAAACGATAACATAAACGATAACATTCATTTTTGCATTAATCCTGCTGTGTTGTCAAAATGTCATGTTGTCATCATTTTTAAAAGAAGTTAATTAACCTGGTGACATGGTGACGTAGTGACACCATCAGTTATTCAAAAATATATTTTTGCTTAAATAGCTTCAGGGTCTATTTCTTCAACCATTTCACTTCCTTCGTCAATGTCAATAGAAGCTTCTTCAACCTTTGGTAAGAATTTCTGTATAACATCTTTGTTCGTTATTGTCTTCAGAGATGAAGGATAATATTTCACATTTGTTTCACCCTTCTTATATTCTTTCTGTTCGGAAAGATTTAAAGCAATACTGAAGAAGTCAATGTTAGAGTTCTTTATGACAGTATAATGAGTATCTTTGACATTCACGAAGAAACTCTTTTGTTTCAAAACTACTGCTAACTCTTGTGAAGTATAACGTTTGCGGTCAATGACGATAGCTAATGGTCTGACATACTGACCAAACTTAGATTCTTTCACAAACTTCTTGTTAAAGATAACATTAACATTTGAAGCATTATTGAACTCATTCTTGATGGCAGTAGCGAGAGCATTGTATGAAAAGAACTTGCAATCTTGCATGTGTTTCATTAAAATAAAAATATTAAATTATTTTGAAAAATAACTTTAAAAAATCTAATCTAATTTTTTCAAAAAATATTTTTTTATTTCCTACTAAAGATGTATCGGAAGTTGTCTAAGTTAGAACACTCGGAAATAAAACAACTTCTTACAGAAGCTAACATAGAAGTAGCAAAACATTACGCAACAAACAAAAAAGCACTCGCTGACATCCTCAATGACTATAATGGTGCAATAAGTTATGATAGAATTTCATGAGTTCATAAAGCCGCAACGCGGCGAGGACGAAGTCCATGAAGAGCATTTCCTTTAAATGACATTGCTATTGACTTATATCATAGACGTTCAGTACCTCATGAAGTAAGAAGAGAAATGTTTGACATAACAAATGCAAACGTTGGTGAAACAAGAAGAAGAGACGACACACTGAAACAACAGAGAAGAGAGATGTTTAAAGTGCTATAGAACAAGTTCGCAAAGCTAACGATGTCATTCGTTCCATTGACGACAAACCAAAAGAAGGTGAGAGATGGTTAAAGAAAGATGAAGAGAATAGGAAGAGAAATGTGAAGTCAGGCAATAGACTCATTGACTTTAACATCGAAGCTTTAGATGAACCAAACAGAGACTACTTACACAAACATTTGGTAAGGTTTTCATGAGACTCTTAGAGAAAATTAAAATAAACTCACAACAGAGATGGATGGTATGTTATAAACTTGGTGGAAAGTATGAATGTTCTACGTTAAACCTCAATAATATTGGAACATTACTACATCAGCTCTTGAAGGAGAACTTTATATCAGAGATAGAAGCAAATGCTGCAGGTATTGTTGAAATGCACTATGACTTCTTCTTGACAAACATAAAGAATCTTACTGAAATAAAGATGTATGATTTAACAGAATATGAAGGCTTAACGATGTCAGATGTAAAGAAAGGCAAACCAAAAAAGAGACCATATAGAGATGAAAGCACACTGACAAATGACCAGAAAGCCATTTTGGAAGCTCTTAAGCAAACAGGAAACCCAGCACTTATAGAAAGCTTTTGGAAAGATAATGGTGAAAAGAAGTTTTATAAGAAGAGAAGCGGTCAGTTCTGGAAGTATCTTTGCACATTACCTATAAATCTTGAACGCTACCAAATCTTCAATGAACTGAACAAAAGAACTGCAACACTTATGACAGAAGACAATTGTTTCGTTTATGCTTGCATTCAGGCTGGAGTAGATGAAGAAACTATTGACCACATGAGAGAAGTCATTCGTGTTAGAGACTTTCCTCAAAGTAAAGTACAAGAAATTTCTGACGCAACAGGTATAGCATTTAATGTTACCATTGGTTACTTCAATGACTCAAGACATAATGAAATAAAGAGATACATACCAAAAGAATGTGAAACTGTTAGAACTATTGACTTACTTCTTGTTGAAGACCACTACATGCTAAATGAAAGATTACCAATGACAACATATTTCGTCAGAAATTACAAGAAATTCTCAAAGCTTGTGGTGGAATGAACATTGAGAAACAAATGAAGATTTATACAAAGAGAGAAGATAAATATGTAGTTCGTTATGATAGAACAACACCGTTATGGGATGTTATGAAAACATTGTGGGAGTGCAAATATTTCGAACCTATTTCTTATGGAGAACTTTTCACATATACGACTGACTTATATAAACAGAACCTTGCACCATTTAAAGATTTGACATATGCTCCAAAGTATTGTGTACAACTGAAGAAGAAAGCCGAGTCAAAAGAAGTAAATAAAAATAAGTGCAAGTTCATTCCTGAGCACGTTTTCTTTGCTGACTTTGAGCAGTAGCACAGATGGCTTTCATAAAGCTTTTAACATCTGTTATGACAGTGAAGATGGTTCAGTGAGTGAAAGCATTGGGGTCAGAACTGTGCAACAGAATTTTTGGAGCGACTTCCTGACAAGAGTTTAATATATTTCCATAACCTCAGTTATGACATAAACTTCATCTTAAGACACATGACAGAAGTGAAAGGAACTCCCATCATTAAAGGTTCACGAACAATGCAAATAACTGGCTTATATAAAGGAAGGGCAATTATTATAAAAGACTCTTACAGTGTTATAAATAAGAAACTTAAACTATTTCCTGCTATGTTTAACTTACAAACAGGACCGAAAGAAGTATTTCCATACAACTACTACAGCAGTGTTTTGTTAGCAAATGACAACAGAACTGGTGTCATTTCTGAAGCATGTAAGTTTATCCGGGATGCAGATACATTCATGAAAAACATAGATTCCATCAAAGGTTGCAGAATAGATGAGAACCACTTCGACTTAGAAAAGTATAGCACATTTTATTGCAAACAAGATGTAAGAATTTTAAGAGAAGGTTTTGTTAAGTTCCGCAATGACATATTGAAAGAATTTGATTTAAACGTTTATGACTACGTTAGTATTTGTTCAATTGCTAACAAATTGTTTGAGAACAGAGTGTACTTCCCGAATGGAAATTTATATGACCTCTCAAATAAACCAAGAGAATTTATTTCACGCTGTATTCAAGGTGGAAGATGTATGCTGTCAGATAACATTAAACAAAAGAGCGAAAAGAAACTCATTGCTGATTTCGACGCTGTTTCATTATATCCATCAGCTATAGCAAGACTTTATACTTTAGAAGGTATACCGAAAGTATTGAAGAAAGAAATGTTAAGCACAGAGTATCTCATGAGACATTTATTCGATGACGACCAAAAGGAACCCATTGGTGAAAAGTTTATGTCTGGCTTCTTTGTTCTCATTAAGATAACAGAGATTGGAATACATAGACACTTTCCTTTAATAGTTTGTGACCCTGAACTAAATCCAGAACTTAACGTTCCCAGAAGTTCAAACACTTGCTGTTTAATGTATGTTGACCATATAACATTACAAGACCTCATAAAATATCAAGGTGTCAAATGTGAAGTGTTGCAAGGATACTATTACGATGGAAACAGAGATATTAGAATAAGAGATGAAGTAAAGAAGTTGTTTGAGTTAAGGTTAAAGTATAAGAAAGAAGGAAATCCTTTGCAAGAAAATATAAAGCTCATTCTGAACAGTATTTATGGCAAAACTATTCTATCTCCTATTGAGTCAAAAATAACCATAGTAAATGACAAAGATGCTATAAGATATGCCATCAGAAACTACAACCATATAGTGAAGTTCGAAGGTTTGGATGGTTCAGATAAAACTATTTTCAAGCTAACGAAAAGCATTTGCAGACACTTTAACTTCTGTCCACTTGGTGTTAACATTCTGTCTATGTCGAAGAGAATAATGTGTGAAGTATTCTGTACTGCTGAGGACTTAGGAATGGACATCTTTTATAGCGATACGGACAGTATGCATCTCTACAATGAAGATATCCCTCGTTTAGCTGAAGAGTTTGAGAAACGTTATGGAAGAGTTCTCATTGGTAAAAACCTTGGTCAATTTCATAGCGACTTTGCAGAAATCACACCTGGAAAACAAAGTTTAGCATACAAGTCAATATTTTGTGGAAAGAAGACTTACATAGACTTACTCACGAATGATTTAAATGAAGTTGCATTTCACTGCAGAATGAAAGGCGTGAAGCAAGATGTTATTGCTTTAACCGCTAATGAAATGTTTCCTGACTCTGTTCAGTGTTTCTATGATGAAGATAAAGGTTTAATGGTTCCGCAAGGAACATATGACAAAGACTCTGAGTTCAGTTTAATGAAACTTTACAAAGCACTTTATGACGGTCAAGAGATTGGATTTGACTTATGTAAGTCATGTCAACCTTGCTTTGAAGAGAAGTTTAACTTCTCAATAACGACTAAAACAAGCTTTATTCGTAAGTTGAAGTTCTGAGGTCATTTATTTTTGTCAGCAATGAGGTCATTCATGATAAAAATAAGCCCATGGGGTCATTTACAATACTGCGATGGTAGAGTTTAAGAGTTGTGCTTCAATGTAGAGACAGTCCTTATGGTCTGGAGGTAGCAAAACAGGTGCTTTATGGTCATGAGTGGAGAACATGTCTATCCAAAACTCACGATTGAAGCCAGTTAATTTATAGTATTTAGGGTTAGGAAGTGGTGAAGTTCTTGTATGACCAATGAACTCATTTTCAACTCCCTTACTTAAGTTTGAATATAATATAGCTTGCTTTCTATCCCAAATACCTGGAAATCTAATTTCGGAAAATTCATTTTTCCTCGGAAGCATTGCATCATAATTGAAAACATTCTTGAAATCATCACTTGGTTCAGAGATTTGAAATCTTATACGTAATGGATTTTTTTTCTTTTTAGCTACTTCATTGAATGGTGAGAATACAATGAATTGACAGTCATGAGTTCCATCAGCATTTGCTACAAACTCGTAATGAAAAGCTATTAATCTTTCTACAATTCCTTCTTCTTTCAGTTCTGCAAGAAAATCACGTAAAGGCTGTAAAGTTTGTACTTCAATGTTAAACTTCTTTTGAAAATTTTCGTAAAATGTAATTATACAGTCTTCTAACGTCGTACTTTCATTGAAGTATTTGTATATGTGAATGTTTTGGGCGCTTAAAGACTGTTCGTCATTTTCTATCTCGACTTGAAGTATAAAGTCAACCTTTCTGAAAGCACGTGTTATATACATAGATGTTATGCCAATGTACTTCTCTTCATTTATGTTCACAATCCAGTCTGTTGGAAACTTAAACGTTACTCTGTTCCCCTTTATTTTGACGTCAGGGTTTTCACTACTGAACGCAACAGATAAAGGTATTTGTCTATACATTTAATTCGGATAAAAATAAACCATTTACTCTTTCTTTGCTTCAGCTTCTTTAGCTTTTGCTTCAGCTTCTTCTCTAGCTTTCTTCGCCAGCAAACGTGGGTTCTTTTGTCTTCCAGCAGCTAATGCAGCAAGTTGTTTTTCACTAAGTTTTCTCTTTGGTCTCTCTGGCTTTTGTTCTTGTTTTTGTTCCTTCAGTTCGGATAAAATTTGCTCACGAATTTCTTTCTTCAATGCTTCAACATCTATGACCCCCTGGGTCTTGTCCGTAGGGCTTGTCTGAGTCATTTGACTGCAGATAAAAAACAAAATTAAAACTTTAACCGATGTAAAATGAGCTTGTCAAAATCAGAGCGAGAGTCTATTATATTAAATGACGCAAGAGGAATACAACATCCTTTCTATTACGTAAGTCAGAGTAAAGATGGTAAAATATACGTAAGAAAAAGAAAGGTTCCATTAGCGAATGCAGAAAGCGACAACATTAAGGTATATGGCAAGGGTGAAGTCCACGAAGCCCATATAAAACCTTCTGTTCAAACTGAGCCACCAATAGAACCAGAAGAAAAGAAGCCAGATGTACTTTCAATAACGAACCAAGAGCTTATTGCAAAGTTCGTGAATTTCATTGAAAAACAAACCGAGTCAAAGAACCCTGACCCACCAGTGAAAGAAGTTGAGACAAAAGAGAATGTACAGTTCATTGAAAATGTCAAGAAACAACTTCCACCACGAATGCCAAGAAGAAGAGTGAGAATAATGAAGTAAATAGATATTTTTATCTGAAGTAAATACATGCAGAACGAACAGCTAAACGAATTTACTCCAGCAGAGCATATTCATCAGATTCGCTCATATTTCGATATCATAGACAATGCAGTTCAAATTGGTGACACTAATAGAAAATATTCTGACGCAAAGATTCCATCACAACCTGGAACTGCTAAAGATAACACATGGGTAACATTCAATCTCTCACCTCCTGGTGAAAATATGTTGGACCTTTACAATACATTCATTACGTATAAAATGGAAGGTCAATTTATTGTAGATAAAGAAATTGGTTCAGGTTCCAATAAAACAAACCCACCAGGATTTTGGATTGGTTTCGATGACGCTTTCTATGCAGTTGCTGGATATCAAATCCTTGCAAATGGTCGTATCGTATATTCTCAAGACAACGCAAGAGAAGAAGCATATATAACTTCAAACTCACAAACTACCGAACAAATAAAGAAAGTAGATGTTTTCTCAAAGACTCGACATGAAGATGTATGGAGTCATTCGGGAACATGCAGAACAGGACAAATTGTTAGTGGTCCAATTACAGCAGGAAAATCATTTGATTTTAAGCTTCGTTTAAGAATTCCTGTTAGAAGATTCCTTCCATTAGAAGCTATTCGATTTATTCCAGCTTTTGCAGGAAACATTCAGCTTAAAGTAAAGTTCAGTAGCGACGCCTTACAATGCACATCTATATCTGTAAATGATATCATTGCTTTCAATCCAACTCTTAAAGTTGCATTTGCTTCAGATTCAAATCCACCGACAAATAAATTTGTTCCATGGAATGAACCATTCACTATGATAACGAAGGCAGTAGAAGCTAGTGGAACAGTTACTATTACAACTGTAACCCAGCAACTATTTCGAACAAAGATGGATTTTAATGAATGTTTCATTCATCCAAAGTCATTCTCTTTAGACCCTAACATTTATACAGAACTTGTAGAACATTATACAAACGAGGTTTTATGTTTTCCTGTTAAAGTTATGGATTGGATTCCTATGGACGGTTCATTCTCAAAGAATACAGATAGTTCAAGTGCAACATTTACAGCAGCTTATACGCCTATTAATGTTAAAAGTATTTGGGCACTATTTAGAAAGAAAGACAACTATTATGTTAATTTTGAGAACCCTAAGTTTAAATATCTTCAGCTTTCCATGGGAGCTTATGGAAATATGCCTGCAGAACCGAAAAATCATATGGACCTGTATTTTATGAAATGGTTGCGAACGCTTGCAATACAAACAATGATATGATAGGATTTAATGAAGATGTTATGAGGTCATTGGTGGATGATGGTAGTGTGGAACATAAATGGGATAGCTATGACAACACACATTTCTTATGTGGTTTTCCAACAGAAGTGGACTTTTGCTTCCAGCAAGGTCAAACATCTACTGCTCCAATAACATACAAATTGTCTGTTAAAGGACCTATTGAACTAGCAACTGAAAACGTACCAAAGCCACTTATTGGATTTATGAGGGATTGTTGCTTTGCCATTCAGGTGCGTGCTAATGGAATCCCAATAATAAGATTAGATGACTATAACTTAGCTACGGACGACGGTGAGGAATAAAGGATGAACGTTTATTTTTAAAGCTTATAAATGAGTTCTTCATCAAGCTCTCGTGAACCTTCACCATCTATGAAACAAACTTTACCAAACGATTATGGAGCACCTATTGAATATTTCTTACGAGCTGCACAATGGCAAAGAGCAGTCTCACCAAGGTTAGGTGTTCCACCAGCTCCTGTCAAAAATAGCATTTGGTCAAGTCCTTATATAAAATATGGTCTCCCACTAGGTTTGCTAGCTACAGCAGGAGCAGTTATGATGTTGAAAAGAAATAAAGCAAATGTTGTAAATAATACTGAAGTAGCTGAAGTTAAACAAACTCCAACACCTTCACAAGCAAAACCTTCAATGACTCCTGAACCTATGGAAGTACAAACTCCTGTTCAAAAGTCAACTCCTAAACCGACTCCAACATTTAAACCAGAACCTACTCCTCAAATAAATCGTAAAACTCCTGCGTTTCCTTACTGAAAAATAACGTTATTTTTATTTAATATTAAAATTTTTATTTGATTGAAATGACGACTAAAGTCACTGAAGCAATGAAACAAAAGTTTTTGGTAGAATACATTAAATCAGGAACTATTCCAGAAGGTTTTTACATTCATACTATGAAGGATGGTAGAGTTCAGTTTAGAAAGATAAAGCAACCATTAGATAAAGAAGGAATTTTGAGAAAGATTAAACTTCATGAGGACAACATTGCTGAACTTAAGAAGAAGTTAGAAGAGTTGGAGAAAGGAAGAGAGTTATAAAGCAATGAATTCAAGAGGGTGAAAAAACAGGTGAGATCTCACCACTTCACCTAAATTTATTTTTGTGCTATGTTTTCATACGTGTGAGGGTGGTGATATCATTAATTTTTTAAGTTTATTTTTTATTTTATTTTTTATTTTATTTGGATGTAAATGACAGAACAAAAGCAACTCATACAAATCGAAAAATATAACAAACATACATTTAAACATTTATTCTTCCTTCCTGAGTATAACATGTTCTTTCAAATACATCCGAGACCAGTTGACTTTTCATTGACTGTGTATAAAGATTGTCATGGTAGTTTTATAAAAACTTATGATGATGAAGGTAAGTTAACAAGACTATGCATTTCAAAACTTGAGAAACTTTATGACTTCAAGTATGACTACAATAGAGTTAACATTGACGATGAAGATATAGAAGAAAATTTATGAGAACGTTTATTTTTTCATTAGTGAGTTCGTTAGCGAAGTCGTTAGTGAGGTGAAGTGGTTGGCGGCTTTGTAAATATTTAAGGTTAAGTTAGTGTTGTCGTTTGTGTTGTAAAATATACGTTAACGGTTTCGTAAAGTGTCAAAACCGCTAAGTGGTGTACGGAGGCGCGCAGTGCCTCAGTACACGACTTACCCATACTAACTATTTTAGAGGTCATCAATGTTTTTGCATCAATTGATATGTTATTAGTAAACATTCCGTATGCTGTATGGTAATTTAACTGATCTTGAGGAATAGCACGAGTTAACGATGGATCTGCAACTGGGAACAATGGAAGAGATCCATTATATTCATTAATTTCTTTTTCAAATACTTTTTCTGTTGGAATAATACTAGGGATGTAGTTGATATCTTCATCTGTCTTTAAAAATTCAAATAAATTATGAAGATATCCTCCATCTGCTGCAAGATGGTTAATATTAAGAACAATAGTATCTTTATTTGTCCCAATAGAGGCTAATGCGTGGTCTAATGGACGAGTATACTTCTGATACATAATTTCATTTAATTGTCCAAGATCAGTGACGTTATCAGGGAGTTTATATATTGGTGTAGAGCCATGAGTCCTAAATATTTGTTTTCCATCTGTACCATAATGAAGAGCGGCAACTGTTTTGTCTATCTTGTTGAGTAGTTTTGGCATAAATGACTTATCGCTAATGCTCAATGCAAATTGAATATATGCCTTGGTTGCAATAAAATGTGATTCCCATCCGACTGCTGGGCGAGCTGACATTCACAAAAATGAAGTGTTTTTCTTATTTCAAAGTTTTGAATCATGAATCTATTGAAAAATATTTAAGAGATATTTAATAATTTCGTATAATATAATGGGATTTTCATTTTTATCAGAATTAGTCATGTGAATTCATACCTACCTCTGAAAATAATTCAATGAAAACCGATTATATTTATTGGTCTATATCGTCTATTATCTATTCATTTTTTGTTTACTTCATCGAAAAGCAACAAGGTCAGAAGTGAGCCAAATGGCAGACTTTGTGTTGTTTTAAAATCTTTCACAGCATTTAACTGTTGAAATATTTAGATTCGATATTTCAAAAAAAATTTTATCAAATCGTGATTGAAACAATTTTTAATGGATAATTGTAACAAACTTATCTAACATTAACACAGATTGCTTGTACTGTAAATAGAAGAGCTATATTTATTTCGTTCATTAATAAAGCGGAATTCATTGAGAAATTATGAATAAAATTCTATTCAGTGATTATCTTTTACATATATTTCATTAGTTTGCATATTTATATGGGGATTTTATTTACCTACTTTGATAGGAATCAATTCAACAGTATTTGCATTCATATAGTTGGAAATACATCAAATGCACTGTGCGCTATTTTTGGAGCTATGTATGAACTAAGAAGCTTTTATAGGAATTTCAAGTTTGAAAATAGAAAGAATAAAACATTCTGCATGGAATGTAATGTTTAAAAAATATTAAAATTCTAAAATGATGATTTTATTTCATTTTAAGTTGTTTTTTTATTGAACAACTTTAGAAAGAATCTCTTCAACAACTTTTGCATTCAATTCGTTGTTGTATCCATATTGTTGACCTCTTCCTAATTCTAAAGCTCTTTCAACAAGGAATTTAACATCTCCTTCTTGAATCTTTGAAGCGTTAGGGAAGTCTGAAACCTTCAATGGCATGCCAAGTTTAATAGCAAAATTGCGGATTCCTTCGATGAACTTGTCGGCCTTTTGATCAACAGTTCCTTCATGAACACCAAAAACGTACTCAGCTGCTTCTGCCATTGTCTCTTTTCTTGATTCCTTAAGCCTTTCGTAAAGGACTGGTGCAACAATTGCAAGTGTGGCAGCATGATCAATACCGTACATTGGAGTCAATGGCTGTGCTGTAAGGTGAACTTCCCAATATGGTGTCTTTCCATAAGCGAATATTTGGTTCTGTGCGAATTCTGAAGCAACAATCAATCTCTCATGAAGTTCTAATGAAGCATCAGGTTGCAATAAACCAGTGCTAATGTCAACAAGTTCTTTCATGACAGAAAAGAAGAAATTGTCTGCCATTGGGCATTTATCGCCTGTAATAACTTGATCTGTGCAATGAATCATCGCATCGAACAAACCATTTCTGATTTGTCTCTGTGGTAATGTCATCGTGTATCTTGGATCAATGATTGAGAACTTCGGATATGTGATTTGAGCACCTCCGTAATTCTTTTCTTTCCTATCTTCTCTTGAGATAACAAATGTATTGTTCCATTCAGAACCAGTTGCTGGAAGAGTAATGATTGAACCAACTGGAATCGCCTTCTCAGGGAAAGCACCTTTTGAGATGATATCCCAAGCATCAACTGATGGATCAAGAGATGCAGCAGCTGAAATGAACTTGGTTGCATCAAGAACTGAGCCACCTCCAACGGCAAGGAGTAAGTCAGGTTTGTATTCACGAACAACTTTGATAATTTCCAAACACGTTTTGTATTCTGGGTTTGGCTGAATGCCTCCTTGCCATTTGACTTCGCATTCAAGATCGGCTAATGCTTTAACAACACTGAACGAGCACCATTCTTATCAATTGATCCGCCGCCAAATGTGCATAAAACGCGTGATTTTCTTGGGACGAAATCCTTGAGATGCTCTTGAACAGCATTAGCACCGAAAGCTAACTGAACATTATTAGTCCAAAGCCACTTCATCCTCTATTGCTGTATAAAAATGAAGTGTATTTTTTTAATTAACTATTTATCTCAAATTTTTGAGAGAAAAATATATTCCGGCCAATTGTTTAAAAATTACATTGCTTTTGATAATTCAAGATTATATAGCTTCGAGTTCTTATTGTTCAATAAATACATGATAAAAATTTTGAAACAAGTGAGTTGCGTCATAAAGTTTTGAATTTTTTCTGACATTTGTCCATATGAATTCACAGCTATTTTGCTAACCATTTAGATATTAGAATTACAATAAATTAATTATATGTCTCATTAAGACAGTGATTGTAGTTCAATTTCAATTTTTGAATCGAAATTCAGATATGATTATAAGGCGATCATTTATTTTTGATCAATATTATATATTGGTGTTTCAAATTAATGTTTAATACTATTTGCATGGATTTTCAAAAGTTATTTGTAACTTCAGTCATTTAAAATTTATTAATTTCATTAACCATATATAGGAGGATGAAGTTAATGTGGATCTTATTTTTATCATGATTAAGATAGAAAGAATAATAAAAATGAATTTTTAGTTATATTCAAAGTTTATTCATACATTTATTATATTTATCCATATCTAGTGATAATACTCATATACTCTGCCATAGAACCTGCATTATACCTTCCTCTAAGATATTCATGTTGAGCAGGACCCCCACTATTTTCAATTCTGCTAATTCTAGAGTCTGTTTTTTGAGAAGATGAACTGCTCTTCGATTGGGATGATCCTTGCTTAGAACTCATCTTTTAAAAATGAAATGAGTTCTATTTTTTGTCAAAAATTTTATTCCTAGTCAAAAATTTTGAATCAAATTGATTCACACTATAATGATTAAAATTTAAAATATTTGATCGATTGTTATTAAAACTATAACTTCAAGATAAAATTAATCTAATGAATTCCTCTTCAAAATTTTGAAATTTTGAGGGTATTCAATTTTTCTTTAAATTTCCTTTCTCCTTAATCATTCAATTTGATTTGCGATTGTTTTGTTCATCTTAATAAATACGGTGCTATTATCAATCCTTTAGCTTTTAGCTTTGAGCCTTTACTTTTTTTTTGAAATAAGAATTCATTAATATTGGATTTATCTTGACGTTATAATTTAAAACATGGATCAAATATTTTAACTTTAATCATTATAGTGTGAATCAATTTGATTCAAAATTTTTGACTAGGAATAAAATTTTTGACAAAAAATAGAACTCATTTCATTTTTAAAAGATGAGTTCTAAGCAAGGATCATCCCAATCGAAGAGCAGTTCATCTTCTCAAAGATCAAATATAACAACTAGAATTGAAAAGTCCGGTGGCCCTGGCCCATATAGATATCTTCAAGGAAGATATAAACATTCAAGGTCTATGGCTGACTATATGGAGTATATCTCAGCATTCAGCTAAATAAAATCAATGTATGAATAAACCCTAAATATTTCAAAAATCCATTTTTTAAAAGTTTTATCGTCCTGTCTATCGCTCCAATATTTGAGAGGTTTACATCACAAGTAAGATATATGCACAAATTAGATACTCCAAAAATTCGAACTCATTATGTGGGTGCATCTCATAATCTTGTGCGGAACATTGTGTTGTAAAATTTCGAACTTTGGAAAGGTTTTTTTACAAAAAGGAAAGATGAAATTCCATTTTTAATGTGATTACACTTCAGTTATTACTTATCATTATCTGTAAATCCTATGGTGTTACATATATTTTTTCCCTCTCTCATCAAATTCAAATTCAAAAAGCATTGGCAAGTAATTACTTTTTCTTTGCATTGAAATAAGATGTGATATTCAACAAATATTATATATTTACATTGATTATTAGAGAAAAATAATTATTTTTACAACATATAATAATATATACAAAATAAAACAAAACAAAATTTAAATTGGATCACTTACTTCTAATTTTGTTTGTGAGAACCATTTTTGATATTTTTCATTCTTAAACAAAATAGATGACATTTCTCTGTAGCACTGGAACATTGGTTCATAATCAGTTCCTTTTGCTTCTTTCTCTATTCTTCTAAACACAGCTAAAGCAGCGATGAAACTACTATCACTGTCGCAAGCCATCAAAAACCTTTTGTTGCAGACAATTGCGACAATTTCTGCCATGGAAAGAATCTTAATTGTCTTAATCATTTCAACGTACATCAATGAATAATGAACACCTCTTTTCAGAGAATATTCCAATGCAGAACGAGCGGATTCACTCACAGCAATGATTGAATCACTTAAATCCAATCTTTGCATCAATTCAGTTCGAGGAATATTTGAAAGAACTAACAACGCATCAATATCTCCATTATTTGCCAATTCTTGCAATTTGGAAACATCATGATAATCACCACTGTTGCAAATGTCAATTACAGATATTTTGTCATTAAATAAATTGTCACTTTTCAAAAGAAAAGAAGAATTCTTCGGAATTGTCATAGGAGGAACTTGTGGCAAAACCGTCAATAATTGGTCGAATAATTTTTGAGGTAACATATTTGTACATCTACTGAATATTGATCTGTAGAATGCTCTGCTGAAAGAAGGTGGCAAAAAGTAATATAAAGCTGTCAAATTTTCTTCATCAAATTCACTTTTTGTTGAATTAAAACATAAACAAGGGAAAAGATATTTCCATTCCGGATCAAATCTCTGGATATCTTTGGCAGAAGGATCAACAAACTTTAGATAATATGTCAAAGAATCATTATTATCTGCTGCAGCAAAAATCCACTTTTTGTCTGGTTCTGGAAGATGAGGTGAAGTGAAATGTTTCTTTTCTCTTCCGTAAAGTAAAAATTCACTTGGCCAATTATAAACTGTTGGCAAATTTCGGTTATTTATACAGATATCGTCATTCTCTAGCTTAGAGAATATCTGTGACAAACCGATTTTTATCTGTTTGACAGAAGTGAAGTCAAATGTGTCAACGGTTTGATTTTTAAGTTTTTCTTTAAGATTAGAGTCCATTTCCAACATAGTTAATAACATTTTTCTTATTAACAAATTATTATTAATGTAAATTTGCTCATAAATGTCACTTTTCTTTACATTCACTTCACTTAACACTCTATCAACAATTTCCTTTAGATAGTCAGGTAGATTTTCCCAATCACTCTTTTGATTTTTGAAATAAACATAAGAAATTGCAATTTGAATGTCACTTTTTGCATGAATTCTATTTGCCAATAATTTATAATCCAAATTAATTCCATTTAATTCGGAATAAATTAAGCAGCCAAGTAACAACTTATCGTCGTCGGTTTTGTAAAGTAAATCGATCATTTCACTTTCTTTTTCTTTTGACATTTTCTGACCATTAAACCAAAGATAAGAAACCATTTCACTTATTTTCTCTTTTGATTCATCAAATTCTACTTTTTCAAATTTGAAAGGAACCATTTCTGTCACTTTTTCATCATTAGAATTCAAATTTTCAACTATTTGTTTTGCTTCATTAACTTTTTGTTTAATTTCCATATCATCACATTCCGCAATTGCATCCAAAAGAATTAAATCACCTTCTTGCAATATCCATTCCGAAACAGGCAGCTGTTTTGCGCATTCTCTTGCCCAAGGAATATGATGATCAATATTAACAAATGACAAAAAAGTTTTCATATTTTCTAACGGTTGTTTGAGTTCTGTTGCCAAAATTTGGGCAACTTCTCTATCATATCTTGCTGCTTGTATCATAGAATTCTTTCCTATATCTAATGCTGATTCAACACCATATAATTCGTATTTTAATCTAAATTCAAATGTTGCAAATCTCGGCGCAAAATTTTCTTTAGAAATATCTTCCAATAAACTTTTCATTGTATCTGTTCTATATTTGTCATAACATTTAATAGCTAAAGGAACAACAGTTTCTGGAAAACTTGTTGCGAATAATCTCAAATATCTCATTAATATCATACACTGCATATGATTACAATTTGTTGCATAATTGAAAAATTCTTGAAATGTTCTGATTATTTCAAGATTAAACATTCCATATTGTGTATGTGTGAAAGGAGCCCTGGAAAGAAAGAACAGTTTGTTAATACTCATTTGTGAAATCCAGTTAATCTTTGGCAAAGTGTCTTCTTGGTCAATAAAAATACGTAACGGTTTGACACTTAATTTTGCCAGACTTAACAATTCTTCGAAGAATAAAGGAGCGGCAGCGCGTGGTCTGAATCTCAAAGCACGTAACATTCCTTGTAAAGCGGATGGAGGACTCAAAGATGAATGGATTAATTCAATTGTAAATTGGACATCAGGAGATCTGATGATTTCAAATGAAATGTTAGGGTTAAGTATCCAATCTAATGATGCCAATGAATGTTGGAAGCCATATTTCTTACTAATTTTGAATATGAGTTTGGCTAATTCGATGTTTGTTGTATTCAAATTTGAATATACAATTTTATCAACACCGATCAGGTCAGTAAGTGGATATTTGTTGATAATCTTCAGTATTTGGAAGGAAGATTGCTTAACTGTTATGATTTTTTGGACAAAATCATGAGTCCATTTCGGATCTTTGTCAAACATCTGAGATAATGAGATATCTAGGTTGTTTATGACATAAGTAAGAGCTTTGGAGTCATTTTCGTAGATATCTTCAAGGATTTGTTGAAATCCGTCTAATAAATGTGTTAAAAGTACTTTGATTGAGGTTCGTTTGTATTCCTCGATCTCTGATTTGCAGTCAATAGCTGGTTTGAGGTCGGCCGGATCAATTAAACCTCGAATTACCGCATTACTTAGAGCAGAAAGTAACATTGTACGATTTTCAGCAGGGTAATCAGTAATATCGCTAGCTATGTTCTTGCAAAGTAGCTTGGCCAAGTCTAAAGAGACTTCTCCTAAACTTATATTAGAATTGATGAATGCAGCTAAAAGTTCAGGCTGGTTTGTAATGGCGAGCGTATTTATGTAATCGTCTAGTTCAATAACGTAATCAGTTTTCAAGTGGCTGAGAAAAGATTTAATAAAATCAAATTTTGAGTTAGTTAATACAGTCGAAATCAGTTCTTGAGGATGTGATGCGGCAAGAATTGCAACTGCCTCTCCGAAATTGGGAGTTGTCATTTGTTCTAACAGAGCATTGCACTCTGTTAAACTAATTTGCTTTGCAATGGATTGCCAAACGAAGGGGAATAAGAGTTCTTTGTCTGCATTGCTTGTAGATGATAAAATGCTTAAAATCATTGGAGTATATTTCTCTTCAACTTCGATTGTTTGACCATTAATTGCAAGAGCCATATATCTTAAAATTGGACACAAATTTGGCGGGTTTTGTTCGATCTCATATATTTCGTAGCATCCGTCAAGGAAATGAATTGGCGAATACGTAATTAAAATGGGAAAGAAATAATCGAAGAAATTTAATACTGCAGCTACGATGTCTTTGTCGTCACTTCTTGCAAATGGAAGGAATGCACGGACATAATCGAAAAATATCATCGGGGAATAGTGAGATGAAGATTTTATGCAAATTGATATATCAAATTCTGTTTCAACTTGGCGGAGGAATTGTCGTATCTCTTTTAAATTAGTACAATCAATCATCTGCTTGGCTTTTTCGATGTGTTTTTCAACAATATCAGCCATCGCAAATTTGAGATCAAAAAGTGTCAATTTCGTAGAAAAAAAATCGTGATCCACTTTTCAATACTTGAAATATGATATCTGAAATAAAAATGAACATAACTTGATTGTCTGATATTTCAATGGAAAATTTCCTCTTACAAAATCGACACTTTTCAAAACGATGTAAATTTCTCAAAAACAATTTTCAGATATGCTTCGTGAATCTAATAACCTTATCATGTATACAGATTGTTCAACCAAAAAGGCAAATTTTATAGATTCTTATTTCCGAATAAAATCCGGTACGTAATGGGAAGCCAATATTAGTAATTTAGGTGTCAAAATACTAATATATTACGATCCCACGCTGCTTACAATTAAATATGCAATATCACAATGAGTTTGGAACAAATTAATTAATTTCTTCGTTTTTATATATGAAATATGTCCGCAATACTGTTCGTTGTTATGTTGACGCAACCAAATCGGTATTATAAATATATGTGATATAAAAAATTGAAAATTTCATAAAATGAGCGATGAATTCGGTCCGTTTCCCAGTCCAATCGACCGATTGATTGTTCAATCCAACAATATCTCACTCGAAAGAGATATGTTTACATGCCAGCAGTATACAGTTTCAAAAGCATACAGTAAAACAACAGGTGATCGTTTAATTGTCCTTCAACCAGCAAGAAAATCATTTCTTTCGAAACCAAATAATTATACTAACTTTATAATTAAATGTACGAAGCTTACTTGTCCGTTTTTATTGCCAATTGTTTCTTATACAGATGAAGAACCTTTAATGATAATTTCTGATTACTTAAAACAAGGTTCATTACGCGACAATCTCAAAACAAGGAATAATTTATCTGGAGCCCAAAAAACGATTATTGCAATTTCGATTGCAAACGCAATGCTTTACTGCCACCATCGAAATGTATTTATGCCTTCGCTAACACCCGATATTATCTACATCACACCTCGTGGAAATGCAAAGATTTCCGTTATTGAGATGTTTCAAAGACCGTTACCTCCTTGGAGCGCTCCAGAAATAAGATCAATCAACGATGCTACAACTAAATCAGATGTTTTCCTTCTCGGATTTATTCTTTACGAATTGTTTACAGGAGATTCTCCATTTGGTAACATGTCTGATGATGAAATTCGCCAAAACATTAAAGATAAGAAACGCCCATCAGTATCAAGACTTGAACCACAGAACTTATCCCACTTAATTCAAAAATGTTGGTCACATCAAAGCGAAAATCGTCCAACAATTGAAGAAATCGTAAGGACATTAGAAAGTGGTGATGTAGTTTTTCCAAATACAGATATGAATGAAGTTGATTACTTCATTAGTAAGCTAGAAAACAGAAGAAGAAAGAAGAATATGATGAAAACATCACCAACTAAGAACCAGCCTAACGCTTACTTGCATGTCTTCATGGATTACAATAATCCAACATTTTTCTCAGACTTGGTTCGCATAGAAGACATTTTAGACACAGAAGATCATTATCAATTTTATTATATCTGCGCAAACCACTTCAAAGCAGGTACACCTATCAAAGTAGTCATTGCTGTATTGGAAGCTATCAGAGTTGTATTGGAAAATACTATAGATTACACTGCATTCAACAGATCCAACATTCTTAAGCTTTTACCATACGACGATGAGCAATTTGATAGGGAAATATTCGACATATTAAATTGCGTATTCTGTAACTCTCCTAAATCAATCACAACTGACCAAGCCAGAGTTTTAGAATTATTAATCAAAAGAAATCCATCGAAGACAATAATTCTTTTTGCATATTACTGCAAGCACTTGGAGCAAATAAGCGATCCATGGCCAATAATCCAGATCTTGATTGATAATGTAAAATTATTTTATCATTCAAGAAGCGGAGCTGAATATGTTTCAACGTTATTCTTCTTATGCTTCAACTACCAAAACTTTTACAAGAAGAATGATGACATTATCCGCCAAATCTTTTGCACATTCCTTCATTCAGAAGATGCAGGAGCTGCAAAAGCAGCTTACAGAGCAGTTTTCACTTTATTAGATCCTAAATATCAACTTCCTTTCCCACAGATCATTTCAGATGTAGGAGATACTGATCTAAGTGAGTGCGCAATTTCACTTTTGCTGAAAATTACGAATTTCCCTGTGAACAAATTATTAATTGACACTTTATTGATGCTATCAGGTGTCAGACCAGATGCTTACTTGCTACTGTTGAGATGTGCTGATACAATGGATGGTTCTAGTATTCTTTCCATGGATACAAACTGGATGTCATCGGGAGCATTAACTGATGCAGAATGTTTAAAGCTGTTGATGGTTACTTTGAAGAATTTACAGGTCAGAAAACAAATAACATCATCACCTTTGTTACCAAATCTCTTGAATTCTGTTCTAAAGAACGATGATTCTCAAGTTTTAATTTGCATTGCAAAAACTATGCAATGTTTGAATGTAACAAGAGATTTCTTAAATGTACTTGCAGAAAACTCCTTCTTTAAGAAGCTACTATCAACAATTAAGATATGTTCCGATGATATTGTGAAATCTTTCTTAATTGATGTTATTTCTATCGTATCCAAGGAATCTTACAACCAAGAATTCCTCACGTTCATTGATCCTCTCATGGAATACCTCAAAGGAAGTGAAAGATTGATGAAATCTTCATTTTCCGCTTTAGTTTATTTGAGTTTCCATGACGAATGCGCAAAGAAGATGAAGGAAAAGAATATTTCTGATGCCCTCAAGAAGCTTCCATCAACAGTTATTCCATCTGACCAAGTCCAGACAATAATTTCTAATATTCAATAATCTTTTATTCTATTTTGTATTTAAATTATATTGTGTTTCTATTACTTTCTACTATTATTTCTGTTTTTCATCTCATTACATTTCAAATCAAGTCGATGTTTGAAATTTGATTGAATCATCTAAAATTTATTCAGAATTTCCATATTTTAGTTTGGGATGAGAGTAACATGTGGATGTTGTAGTGTATTACCATAATAAAATAATGAAAAATAGATCAATATTAACGGAACTCAACGTGAATTAGGTGCTAGACTTAATTTAATAGGGTTATTTGTTCCATATTCCATGCTTTTTCGAAAGATATACTCATTCATAGTATCCTTTTATTAAACAAAGTCTGTTCTGTAAAATCAAATTATTCGTCCATATATTATGTTAATATTGTAAATCCAAAATGCACTCGTGATGTAGATGCTATTTCTTTTTTTATTTCATTCATAAGATCATTCAACAAATTTGCTAAAAAAAACTCATTCAAAAAGTACTATCCGTATTTAATTTCAATCCATTAAGACCACTGTCTGTGGAAACTTGTAACGTTTACATTTTCATTTTATTTTTTCGATAATATTTTTGAAAGGTTTACAAAAGTAACTGTATTTCTGAAATTTACATTTTATATTTAATATAGCTTAGATAACTATTTTATAAAGTTGCAATTTTTTTTGATTTCGAAGTTTGAAAAAATTGATAAAGCAACCTCTTTTTGCCAACCATTCAGAAATCGATCCAAAATAACAACCTTATTAATTCAGGTGTAATAACTTTTGGATCAAAATCAAAAAATTCAGGCATTATTTGACAGAAAATAGAAATAGAAAAGAGAAATTTCAAACTAATGTCCTACAATTATTCCCAAGTGATAGATACTGCAACCCACGATGCACATCATATATTTAATGAATTTGCAACAAATCCACAGATTTCAGTTCATTGTTTCGATCAAGGAGTCGGATTAAAATTACGTGACCAGATTAATTACATATTTTTCCTAGATAGACATTTAAGCGCGCAACAATCACTTAATGTAGGCACAGTATTCGAAAATATAACAAAATACGCTGATTATTCAAAAAGAGAATCGCATAAATTTCTTCTCCTTTGCTTAATTATCGATGTATTTACCACACGCGATCATGACTCAAGAGTGGAGGCATTTTGGCCTCACTTTTATAAGCTTTTATTTGAAATTAAGGACATTAGATCATTTCTTTTAATCTCAGGGACAAAATCAATTTCTCATTTTCTATTATCAAATCCGAGTCGAGTTATTGATTTCTTTGACGTATACGAAAAGCAAAGAAATTCAAATCCTACAATACAATTGCTGGCAAATTTGAAATTACCAAAGGATTTGAGTAACGATCAATGTGTTGCCATTGCCACCAAGACATGCAGTATTCTCAATGTTTCTCTTCAAGGAATATCCATGGACTTGATCAAAACGGCTTTACTTAACATTTTATCACAGATTAAAATAGAAAACGAAAGTGATATAGAAAGTATAGTTCAAGGTCCTTGCGTTTTCAAGAGTCCAATAGCCAAAATTTTATCTTCAGCGCTTTATATTACATTACCTAACTACGCCAATGCAATTTCTCAACGGATTGCTGACTTTATGCAGTTCGCTTCTACATCAGAATGTCTGAAACAGACGTTTTGTGTCATAGAAAACTTTTTCAATTCGATTCAACAATTATCTGACGACAGAGTTGAAGAATTCACGAATATTTTAACGACATTCGTTCACAGTATACCTCTTACCCTCATACAAACTGAAAATGCGAGACAAAGAGCCGCATTTTTCATAAAACATTTGTATGATTTGAACAAAGACCTCGCTAGGAACGTTATACGCGATTATTTACAGAAAGGAAAGATCAGTCCTGACATTCTCGACGTCATTGATGCTTATCCTTATGATATTAATGATATTATATCTGATGACATTGTAGTTATCACTCCAACGCTTGACAATTTACTTAAGTCATGGGATAGATCGTTTATGAATGAGAAATCCATATCTTTTCCCCATATGATTGCAAAATATTGTAAAAAAGCAACAGAAATCCTTAAAACAGTGGAAAGATTGGATGATGCAGATGCTCTTAAAGCTATTGTTAATAAGCAAACGAATAAAGTTGAAGATGCAATTAATAATATTCCATTTGAAATGCTACAAACGATGTGTATTGTAGCTACTTATTATCAGAACCCTGATATAAGAGTTGCAGCTTACGAATTATTGGTCGCTGTTGGAGATATGTTCATGTCCGCAAATACTGACTGGAAAGACTACGATCAGGACTCACAGCAGTTCATAATTAGGTTTAACTCGGACTATAACTACATTTCCAAGCGAGTTTATGGCAAACCTCGCGATATCAAAACATTATTATCCGAAAATGAGGACTGTAGAATCGAGGCAGCCTCATACATGTACAAGAAAATGGCTGGAACGAGTCATCCACTTGCTGTTATGGTCTTTGAGAAGCTTATGAGCTATGCTTTGAAAATGCCATACTATTTCGAAGCCGTAATGTCAATGTATTCAAGGGAAATCAGTGATATGATGGAAGGCAATTTCGTTGAATCCGAGGATTTGCTCAGATTACTTGTAGAAAACAATTGTTTGAATTATATTGCAAAAATGTCTGCATCAGGAGTTCCTCTCTTTGTCCCAGCGATTGATTTCACTATGCCTGTTGACAAACTCGCGAAAATTCTTAGATACGTCACTCAGGCTTGCGTAGATGGAGTCAAAAATTATTATGCGTCCACAGGAAAGCAGTTTATTGAAAAGTTATTGGGATTGTTCCTTCAAAGACCTGAAATAACTAACTTAGATGACTACGCGATTTGTCTTGGAAATATATCTCAGTTAATTAACCTTGGAAAAGCCGAAAAAACTCCTATGCTTATGGATATTTACATCATTGTTTCAACAGCGATTCAAAAAGATGTAAAACATCAGAATATTCAACTTCTTGAAGCAATTTATCGGATTTTGCTTTGCCTTGCGAAGAATTCTGTATCAACAATCCAAACAATATCATTCCTTAGTGATACTGCCAATTACCAATTGGCTTTTAACGCAATTTCCGAAATATTAAAACTAAATGAAAGCCAAATTTCTCAGACATTGGTATCGCAATTGCTTTCTACAATACCAATACCCACAATTGATGCTATTTTGAAGGCAAAATCAAGCATTGTTAGCGAATCTGTTCTATTTTTCAATGTTTTACTATCAAACTTAGAACAGAAATCAACGGTATCGTACTTAAATGATTATATGAAGGCCAAACATGCTGATATGTATGAAGAATTCTCTAATTGTCCAAATCAAGCGGAATTTCTCATCCAAAAGTTCCCAGATTACCACAAAGCTTATTTCAACTGCATTGAAGCAATGAGACATGAAAATCCAAACGACGTTTTGCTTCTTTCTCTGTTAAGAATCTCTACTTTGTTATTAACTACAATTTCTGATGTAGAAAAACAAAGTTTATTCGTAGCAGTTAAACTTGCAAACAAAGTCTCTCAAAGTCATCTCAATTTCACAAATTCAGCAAGAAATTTGTGGATTGCTGTAACTCTTACTGAAAAGAGGGCAAAATTAACACTCAAATTGTTATTCAAGCTTGAAGATTCCCAAACAAGTATCAATGCTGCATTCCAAGCATGTGGAAATGAAATTAAACCATCTGTCATTAAATATTGTGTCAAAAAGTTGGTCCAACTCATTTTACAAGAGAGAATCGCTATTGTTGACCTTGTAACAATGAATAAGATCTTCAAATTATTGGCAACAACAGAAATGACACCAAAATTACTTGCATTCTGCGGAATTTTCCTGTTTTCGGAGATTGTTCCTTTATCTGATACAGCGAAGAAGAGGATCTGCTCCGAAGTCGAAGAATACGACCTTGAATATACGAATATCCAATTATTAGAAGCAATTTTGATCAGATTTGGCCGAGATTTCTCAACAGAAGCGAAGAAATTTGCTGTAGGACTGATAGTTAAAGTCAGAGATTCAGAATATTTCCGATCATTGATTTTCGACATTTTAATTTCAGTCAATCTCTACACCAGCAACGAATTCGATGCTCAGTTGATGCTTATCTCCGATGCCATTCATGGTAGATTCACAAATACGAATGATTTCGACAAATTCTTCTGTACTTTGTTCAATGTCATTTCGGATGTGACTTCCGTGCATCATATCAAGAAGGAAATTGTTTCCAAGTTCATGAATTACTCGGTCGGATACATCGATTTCGGATTTGTCCACGTAAACGAAGCGATTGCTCAAATGTTCATTACTTTGGCAAGGAATGGATACGTTGACGATTCAAACCAAGAATTCCTTGAAGAAGCAATTAAATTACTGTTCTACGGAGACAGAATTTACACGATGTTGACATCTTCCATCATTTCTAAGATAAATCCGGAGTTGCTGAAGACAGAATTCGCTAGAACATGGTTAGCGATATTAAACGGAAACGGATCTCTTGGAGATGAAAAGATGAACAAAGACATGGTCAATAATTTGTTCAGGGCTTCAATTTTCGGAGAATTCATCGTTAGAAAGAAATTGTCAATCATGTTCAAGGCGAAACAAGGAAACTTCAGTACAAAAAGAGATGGATTCATCTGGAAATACGCAAACTTCTTGTTGTATTCTAATGAAGTTCCTGCTCAAAATGCTGAAGAATTGTTCTTGGCAATCAAAAACGGGTTTGGAAATGTTCCTGTGTTGAAGGATCCGAAGGTTCCAACATACAAGAACAAGACATCTAATAGCCTTATGTAGGGTTGTTAAAAATATCAAAAATTAGCGTTTTGAAGACACCATGGTGTCTTATAATTTTCCCTTCCTTATTGGCGTGTAGAAATAAATGTGCCAATAGATTGAAGAAGAAGAATTGTTTTTCTCTTAATGAACTTTAATCCTTTTGATATAAGAATATTAAAAACATTAATATAATTTCGATTTCGGAAATTAAATTTCCAAATTTTTTGTCGATTTCAGAAATAACAGGATCCCGCATCCAACACGCAACAACAAAACACAAAACACACTTTTTGGTTCTTTCATCGTTTTAATCGTAATTTATGTAATACATGATTTGGATAAATTTTACAAAAATAGAACCTATATTATATTCTTTTCAAAGATTCTTGCAAATCATCAAAAATAATTGTATTTTAAAAAACGATCAAATTATCCTTTCATTATTTTAAACTTAAATTAGTTTTTATGATTGACTAAAGCAATCATATTTATTCATCATTAAATAAACAAAAAAATAATATTTGAGAGTTATTTCAAAAAAAAACACATTGAATTTATTAATTTGTCTCAATTTCAGTATTATAAATTTTTATAATTTCAATATTTTGAAATACACTTTTTACTATTTCAATATTTATGATATTTCAATGTATTAAGTGGTCTCAAATTGAGCTTCTCAAATATAAGTTGGCCTATTCAAATAATAAAATTAAATAATATTTAAAATAATAAATAAAAGTGATTGAGGTCATAGCAAAACGGCTGTTTCAGTCATTAATTCTTAAAAATAAAAAGGGTAAAAACTAAATACAATGGGTAAAATTCAATAGTGTCTGTGCTATCGTTCAATTTGAAGGTGTCTTTTGAAACCGCAAGACACATTGAATTTTTGAATAGTGTATTATGGTTTGACAGACACCAATGAAAAAAATAAAATGATATTTATTTTAAATATATAAGATCCTTATATAAAATATAAATATTTTATCGTTTTATTTTCTTGTTTTAGAAATGTTTTTTATTGAAAAATCAATAAAACTCACTCCAAAATAAAATTTTTGATTTAAAGACACTATGATGACACCAGGCAAATCTTCCAAGACACCTATCGTCGGGAATCTAACAACCCTAGCCCTATGTCATCAACTGAAATGTTCTACGTCTAATTTTTATTTTTATATTATAAGGTCGATGAAAAAATGAGCGTTTTTAAAAAACCGCCGTTTGAGAGGAAAATTGAGAGCCCCGATGTATACTTTTTGACATTGTCAAAAACTTTGAAAGGACAAAAAAAAATTTTAGTGTCAGAAAGTTTACAAATGTATACTTTCTGACAAACAGACTCTCAGAAAGTACTCAAACTGCGGTTTTTAATTTCCGCACTTTTTTTGGCGACCTTATTTTGTTTTATTTATTTTATTTTATATATTATAATTTCGATTTTTATATAGCTTTATAAAAAAGTTTAATGCGTTTTATTTTTTAAAAAATTATATAATTTTTTTGAGAAATTATGATCTAAATTTCAGATTATCAACATAACACATCTTTAATTCTATGATTTAAGCTTTACACACCGTCAATCCCATATTCTGATGATATTTTCATTCAATACGGATCAAATTTAGGGTAAAAACATAAGATTTTTGATATAAATTTTATTCAAATTTCGAATATTATGAACACAGTACCTGTAACTATAGAAATTATGCCTTTAGAATATCTTCAATTTGTTCATTTTGAAGAAAAAAAAATTACCGAGTCTTTACATAAAAGTGTCAAATTTTTAAAAATTAAAATTATGATCATAATTTAAATTTAGATATCAAATGTCAAGTAAATTTGGTTGGACGATAGTATCTCATTCAAAATCGATTGACCCAATAAACATTTTTAATGACGAATTTATATATTTACAATCATATTTAATAAAGAAAAATGTATCGGGGATCAATGCACGTTTAGAAAAAACATTTGTGATTCCGTACGTTAAACTTTCCAAATGAACACCGAATCGATCGAAGAGATTGTATTCCAGGTTTTGTTGGGTAGGATGAATAAAAAGAAGAGGTATGCTAGACCTATTACACAGAGCGAAATTATAACTTTATGCAGGCAAGCTCAAAAAGTTTTTTCAAGAGAACCATCTTTACTCGAACTGGAAGGTGGTATCGTTATTGTAGGAGATTTGCATGGAAATATTGACGATTTAATTAGAATTTTCGAAAGATTACGATACCCTCCCGCTACAAGATATTTATTTTTAGGAGATTACGTTGATAGAGGTGTTTACGGAACAGAAGTAATGCTACTTTTGTTTGCACTTAAAGTTAAATTCCCAGATTGTGTTTTTCTCATTCGAGGAAACCATGAATGCTCCTCATTGACAAGCGTTTATGGCTTTGAGAATGAAGTTCTTCAAAAATATAATAGCGATGTTTATAACTCATTCATACAGACATTTTATACGCTTCCACTTGCAGCCGTAGTAGGTCAGAGAATTTTCTGCGTACACGGTGGAATTTCTCCTGAGCTTGGAAAAGTAGACGTATTAAAGAATATACCTAGGCCGAAAGAGATTCCGCTTACAGGAATGATCTCCGATTTGGTTTGGAGTGATCCTGAATATACTGTCGATACTTTCGAACCAAGTCATCGAGGTTGTGGATATCTATTTGGTGCAGAAGCATTGAAAGAATTTCTTGATAAAAACCAATTCGATTTACTTGTTCGCTCCCATGAAATGTGTGAGGATGGTGTTGCATGGCCTTATGCCGCAGATGATAGTGCTGCAGATAAGTGTATAACTATTTTCAGCAATAGCGATTATTGCGGCAGAGAAAATGACGCAGCTGTAATTTGTGTCACTGAAGATCTAGCTGTTTCCATAGAAATGTTTGAATGTCAGTTTACAGAAGATCCAAAGAGAACAATATTATTGCCTTACTGGCTTTCAGACTTGATAGCAAAGAAAGATGCACAGAGAGCTGCCAGAGCTAAAACTCCGCATCCTCTATCAGAGAATACTAATATCAATTACTCCAGGTTAGCAAAACCTTCATCAAATTTGCAAGCTACTTATTCTGTAAGAAGATTGGAGAATATCTCCAACTAAATGTGTATTTTATATATTTATTATTAAACTATTATAATATTTCGTGAAATTAGGCAATCTCTCCACATTTATATATAAGGATCTTTCATTATTATCAATTTTTTAAATTATATTGGAAATAATAAATCTAGATAAACTAAATTTACAATATACAAACAATCTCTATAAACTATATCTATAGCTCGAAGAATACTTTGCTATCATCTTCAGAATCAGATGTATCATCATCTTCATTTGGTCTAAAATATCCTTCCTTTTTAGATCCAGCATATCCTATCTGGAATGGAAAGATAAATCTTCTTGGATCGGCCGAGCCTGATGGAGTATGCTTTTCTTTTAATTCAGTAGGTGTTTGAGACTTGTAGTTATAATCTAATAGTGTTTTTGCAAGGTTCTGTATCTTTTCTTGGACCAGTTGCTCTTTTTCAAGGTTTCTGAAGACAAAAACATCTTGAATATTTTGTTCGACCATTTGTGAAGGGTCACTATCAATAATTATGTTTCCAAATTCAATTTCCTTGTATCCATTCAGAACAGTAAAGGTAATTGAATCAATTGAATTAATATAAGCAAATTTTGTTTGCATTACTAATTTGTTATCAACAAACAAACTGGTATTTCCATCACGTTTAACTGCTACATCAATTGAATGAGTATATTCTGGGTTCCAAATGAACGTTTTAAAAGTTGATGAACTTGAGTGATTGAAAAACGCAAGACTGGCTTGGAAAAAGGATAAACCAGCAGAAAATATGCTGTTCTCCAAATTATCATATGCTGTGAAGTAAATTTCTGATGGTATTTTTTGGATTGTCGATTTTGCTGTAAAATGTACCCATAATTCTTGTCCGTATGAATATATGTTTTTCTGTATCAGCTTTTGCTCAATTTTTGTCTTTTGTCCTGATAAAATAGCACATACTTTTGGGAGGTCGGCCGTTGAAGCACTACATTCACGGAAACTAAGTTCAGTTCTCTGTTGATTTAGCAACCATTCCTTTTGCATTTTGTTACTTGCAAAATTGGCCACAAAGATTCTAACATTAATCAGCGAAAGAAGCATTTTTGAATAATGAAAAATAAAGATTTGGAAAGAAAAGAAATAATATTTGATAATAAAATATTTATTATGAAACGAGAAAAATATTTTTTGTGATATTGTATTATATTGTATTTATTCCAATTCGTTAGGTTTAGAACTTCATAAGGTGGATACGATCGCCCTTCTTGATTGTGAATGGTGCCTTAAGATACTCAACCATTTCTGGGACTTTCTGGGCTGCAGCCTCAACCTGGGCCTCAGTAGCATCCTTCTGAACTTCGATCTGTGTAGATGTGGCGATGAGGTAGTCTTGTGAAATTTCGTTGACTGGAACAACTGGGCCAGCAACCTTAACGATACCGGCGCCCTGATCAGCAACAACAACAGCACGCTTGCCTTGGTTTTCACCGCCGACGATGATAACGACTGTGCCAACCTTAAGGGATGCGCGTGTTTCGACTGGCTTGGCGTTGCATGCTGGCTTCTGAATTGGATCGACTTCAGCAGCAACAGCTGGGCGTGTGAAGGAAACACGTGGGATTCCTCTCCATGATGGCTTCTTGACGTTCTTCTTCTCGATTGGGGAAATGAAAAGGAGCTCAGACATCAGTCTTGCAGAAAGGCCATTCCATTCAAAACGTTTCAGAGGAAACCGCCAATGTAAACTTGGACGTTGAAAAAAAGCCATTTTGAACTAAATTTATGATTGTACATATAATGCTAATACTAAATTTGTCTTGGAATTTCATCAAAATTGATTACCCATTTTCATCTGAAATGTCACGTTTTCGATGTACCGAATTTGATAAATTTCATCCCTCTCAGAGTTCCATCGACGTTGGACATAGCATACTTCTATCAGGAAGTCTCTTGGGTGAGGAGTTTTTATGTGTAATTCATGATTTATCCTTTAATTTTCTAAAATTATTAGTCATTTTCCATAATTTTGTATTTTCAGACTGATAATTTGGTATGTCTCCCTTATTTCTATTGATTTTTTAGTCTTTTTGTATTTAGAGTTTTGTAAAATTTTGTATTCAATTTATTTTTTGATGTTTATTCCACGATTTTTTTGTGGAGTAATAAGAGGTTTCTTTCGTTTAAACACATTCATATGGATTATCATTGCATCTCCATTGTTAAAACTCCTTATTTCGCCAAACAATACTCAAATTATGCCAGAATTTAATCAACCAGTAAAGGAAATTCAAGAATCAGCGAACACAATGCCCAAACAAGAAAATAATGAATCACCAACTATTACTAAAGACAATGTAGATAACGACACTACAACAATATTGAATGAAACAATCCATAAAGACGAAGAGAAATTAGAAATACAAGAAAAGATTGAAGATTCAGAGTATGCAAAGTTAGATGATAATGTATATAAAATTCAAAATACATATAGCGAAAAATATAAATTTGGAAACGCCGAAGTAGAACCAATTTTTGGTCAAAAGTTTTGGAATTATTCAGATTATGCATTAAGAGAAGTCAAACATGGAGCAGGAATAGGAGAAACTAAAAAATCCTATTTTGGTGGCTTATTTGGTACAAATAGAGTTAGTAAATACAATGGTGCTTGGACTGCCAAAAACGGAAGCGGAAAATTTATTATCGAAGTTTTTAAACCAATACCACTCAAAGGAATTACTTTTTCCACGAAGTCAAATCAGTTTTCTAAAATAAATGTAGAAATCATTTCGGATTCAAATAGAGTAGCCCATTTGTCAAATATTGACATGAAAGAAAATTTAACGTTTAATTTCGAAAATCGCTTTATTTCAAAGAATCTAGAACTATCATTAAAATGTGCTGATTGCTCTGGTATAGATCAGCCTCCAATTCACATGACACAATTCTATTTACTTCCATACGATTATCACTAAAGATAATTGTTTGGTTTCTAGGTTGATTGTAACATTTATAGTCTTATTTAATATAGTTTTGTTTCGGGACCAATATTTAATATTTTTTTTTTATTTTTTAATAAAATGATGTTTGATACTATGGAAATAATAAAAATGTTTAAATTATAAATATATATTTACTAATATCTGATAGATTTTAAAATACAAGAAATATAATAATAATTAGTCGCATAAAAGTAAAGCATCATTCGATGAAATCTTGTCAATGGCTTTGTTATCACTTCCACTTGGGTGAGGATGAACAAGATCAATTTCAGAGTTTGGTTCTTCAATATCAATAAACTTTGAAGTGAACTTGTCAACAATCCAAGGTGGTAATACTGGTCTCCATTTTGACTTCTGTTCTGCAGTCATCAATGGAAGACGAGTAACAGTGACATTTAATGTTGTGGAAATATTAATAATTGCACCACCGTTTTTCTTATTGCAATAGTCTGTATTGCTGAAAACGGTAATGCATTCATCTGTTTTGAATGGGAACCTATATCCATCACAGAACTCGTGTGATCTGATGACTAGGTCAAGATTATTCTTATCGAGGAACTTTTTGGCGGCTTTTGCATTAAACATCCAGCCACAACCTCTAGGATTCCTTTCAAATTCGCTATCCATATCTTTCGGATCGCTCCAAACTATATCGGCAAAAACTGATGGGTCTTGAATTTGATCGGGTTTTAACTTCTTTTTGAACTCGGAAATATCTTTCATTGTAGGGCCAAGTCCGCCGTGTAGGCATAAAATCCTTTTTCCAACAATTCCCAAAATTGGCAGTTGCTGAAATACTAAATGGAAGTTATAAAACAATCCAACTGTATATTTGTACATGAGTTCATCGTAAAAGCCATAGCATTTTGATACATGTTCAATTTCGTGATTACCTCTGAGTAAGTATATATGTTGAGGGAACTTAATCTTTAATGCAAACAAAAGTGTAATAACTTCAAAGCTGTTTTTGCCGCGATCTACGTAATCGCCTAAGAAAATATACTTTTCTTTTGGCGGGTATCCATGTAATTCAAAAACTCGAAGCAAATCGTCAATGTTTCCATGTATATCTCCTACTACATGTAGGCCAGCTGGAACTTCCAATAGGACAGGCTCCTCACCTAGCAAAGAATAAACTCTATCGAGGATATCTTGCACTTGATCAGCAGAAATATCCTTTGTTATATCATGGTTTTTCTCTGTACGCGAAAGTATGATCTTTTTGATAACGTGTGTCAAAAGATCAAAGTCTTTCATCCTCAATAAAATATGATTTAGTTGGTTGGCGCCAAATATAATTGTTAGAGTATTCAATTTCCCCGCCAAAAAATTATCCCGCGCGCCAAATGTGATAAGGATGTTTTTGTATATACTTTTTGATGTATAGTACACTTTTTAAGGTGGCCGTTTCTGGTTGATATACCCAAAATCTGGGAAAGGTTCTTGGGGAAAAAATAATCTTGTAAAAAAAATCAATCCTCCGTCGGCAGCGCTAGCCCTTCGGGCGCGTCGCCGCCTCCGGCCATGAACAACACAAAGTTAAAGTCATCAAATATGTAATATGCCCTATATTATTTTCCCTTTTTTTCTTTTTTTCTCCTTTCCCCCTTTTCTTTTCTTTTTCCTTTCGGCTTTTTTCTTTATTTGTTGATTTCTTCATAATATTTTGAATTTTTTCAAAATAATCAATAAATTTATAAAATAACTTGTTCAATAATTTTACATTATCTAGAAATTTCACATTTCAATTATAATATTTACTAAAACAGATAAAATTCCAATATTGATTTTGTTATCAATTGATCATGTTTTATTATGATATTTTTATTTTAATCCTTAAGTCAATGTAGAATCCAGATTTAGAGAAGTAATTATGGATAAAAAATTGAAATTAATATGTGCATTTGCATCTGAATCATCAGTAGAAAGACTATTTTGGAGATCAATTAGAATCTACAAAAAGTGAGACTCATAAGTGTACATCTGCAATTTTTTGAGTTGGTAATCTAAAATTCTTTTTATTAGGATATTAAAGTTTAAGAATCAGTATTATTCTGAAAAGATACTTAAATTATTCAATCAAATGATTGTAATTAAATAATCAAAATATGATGAAATTTTATTGATTTAATTTTTTAAATCTGCAAGTGCAGCTTTGTTTGAAGTAGCAAAAGAATTGTACAAACAGTTAGCAAAGTAAATTTACTCAATATCATAAAAGTTATTTGAAATTAAATTAATATGAACTGTTGGTACTAATAGTATATGCATAAGATTAAAAGTACGCATGAAATTCTTTGTATAAATGTCAGTAAATGATATTTTTTCGAATCTGGGTTTAAAAAATCTGAAGGTAAACGATTGATCTTGAGTGTTTATGCCATATGCAATGAATCAATCAAGTTCATTGTGTATTATTTGCTTTAAATACTTCCCTTACAATCACAGGATAATGGATCTGATGAAAAATCATTATTCCTTTACAATTCGCATTGATACAATATGATGATTCATTGCCCAAGAAACTCCATGTATCCCAAGTATATGAGGAACACGTATGTTTTTACCCAGATTTTGGATTAGGTATGGTGAAAATTGAGAACTGTTGTAAAGAAATTGAGAGATTTTGTAAAAAATTGAGAGGAAAATCTGGTGAAAGAATCACAGATCTGGGGGTACCAGAAGGTATGAGATTTGGATGAAAATAGGATAGCATGCTCCATTATGAATAGTAGATGTATCCTACATCAATGAATCATCTGGGAAACGAAATTTTTTACTCCAAAAATATTTTGAAAAGCAAAAAATGAAAAAAAATTTATTACCATAAAAACCAGAATTTATCACCTCGGGGAACGTTTCCCAGCACTTTTCCACCAGAATCGGCCACCTTACACTTTTTGAACCAATTTTTCATGTAAATTCTTTTGATGTATTTTTGAAAGTGGATTATGACACCATGAAGCCATGTATTTTCCTCATTCTAATATCTATATGATATATGAAGACATTTCTTAAACTAACACTTTCGAAATATTTTGAGTAGTAGGATATGATGGGTTTAGTGACTTTTTTTGTAAACGTAAGAATTCATACAATATCGAGCGATTTTGTATCATTTTTTTTAACATATGAAGTAAAAAATGTATGATTCTTACGGTTTTTATTCTTACGTTTTTGAATAAATCAAGATTTAAAAAATTTTCAAAATTGTAAGACATTTACACTCAGCCCAAACATAATGAAATAAATCATTAAAAAAATTAACATTAATTTTAAAATAATTTATTTTTTTATCTTTTATAAAAGAAGCTATATATAGATGATGTCAGATATTCCGCGATTAATTAAACATTGTTTAAATCCTGAATGGAATCAATGGAGTCATAAACGAGTAAAAGAAATTAGAAATAAACTTCTTACGAAAAATTAAAACTTAGTTATGTTTATTACCCAGATTTGCTTTACTTTTACCACTCCCCATGTAATTTCTGGGGAAAACGATAATTCATTTTTTTTATGGATGAATAGATCGTTTTCCTAGAAAGGACCTCATATCTCTGGCTAAAAAGAGTGTCAGATCCTAAATAGATTATTGATCTAGTGTACAAATCCAATAAAAAGCCTATTTTTTTGGCTTTTTTGGTGCTCATTTTTTCGAAGATCTACATGAATATGGGGAAACCATCGGATTTTTTTGGTTAACCCACATCTTCATGTAGTCTGGACTATCTTTCCTCGAAGGACCTCTTTACGGGTGTAAAAACTCATAAAGTTCTCAAAAGATTCATTCTCGATCTCCATGCTGAAAGAATTTACAATAAAAAAGAGATCTACGCATCAAACTACAGCCATAAATGAACTGAACCCCTAAAGCTCAGCTCTTAGTTTATCAAAAACGTCGAAATCCTTCTCATTGCAATCAAATTTTCTCAATAACTCATAAGAAAAATCGAATTTTGATTAAGCCGATGTTATAGGTATCACAAATACTACAAACTTGAGCAATATCGAAATTGCCAGCAAAAGTTTGAAATTGCATTGCTCATATTTGTTTTGTAAACTAAAAATCTGCTTATATTATTCATTAATTTTTTATATATTATTCATATACTTTAATAAAAACAATACTATTTCACCTTAAAAATGAATTTCATAAGTCAATATTTTTTTTGAAAATGTATCAATTTTCGATTAAAACAACATGAGAATAAAATTTACGCAAAATTATTTTAAAAAATGGTTTTAAAAATTTACAATTGATTAAATAAGATTGGAAGAAGTTTTGAAGTTTAATTTTAAGAAAAAAAATTCGGATATTATTCATGGATCTAAGTAATCTGATATTTGAGTATCGGCACTATGCATAAAACATATATTTATAGTTTTTTTGGATTTTTATGATTTTAAATATATTCAAATTTGGCAATCCAATAGATTTTTAAAAAATAGGTAAATAAAAATAGATTACATATGCAGCAGATTTAGAACATGAAACAAATCTTATAGTGACCCAAAAAAAATTCATGATCCAAAAAAGAAAAAAATTGGCTATATGGGAATCAAACCTTGGCATAACGAATCATTATGTCAGATGTTTCCACTACACTACACTGGCAGTTCGAAAAATACCCTTGGTGGTTCTATTTAATAGCTACTCCCAACGATAGGCGGTGTCCCCAGCTTTCGAGAGGTGGTAAAAGTAAAGCAAATCTGGGTATTTTATTTTTTTATTTTGTATGAAATGAGCGTCAAAACTAACAACGTTAAAAAATTACCATTCACAAACGAAGAAATAAAGGATATATTAGAGGAGGTAGGTTATGAAGTTAATAAATATTATTTAAGAAATTGTCAAAAATTTGCCGAGTTATTAAATGATTTAGATTATGATGGAAAAATGAATAAAGATGATGTTATAAATTTCTTATATCCCACATCTGAAGAAGAAAAACCTAAAGAACCTGATGTTTTCCCTGAATATTATGAAGAACGGATTAAAGATGATGAATACAATGAAATTGAAAGACTGAAAAAAATAAGAGATGAAATAGATGAAAAAATTAAGGAATTAAGAGAAGTTGAAAAATATAATGAAAATGAAGTAGAGGGTTTAATGAATATCCCAGCTTCAGAATCAGAAGTTCAGAAATCTCATGAAGAAAGATATAAAAATTATGTCTCAGAATCAACACAAAATTTATTAGATGGTGAAATAGACGAAACACTTTCAGAAGAAGGTACTAAATTTATTCGTAAACATAAGTTACAATTTATTGATAATGAAGAATACCCCTGTATCCTACTTTCACCACCTTTAGATTCCGAAAAATTCAAAAAAGCTCTTAAAAACGTGACATATGCAACTAATACGATTAAGAAAGAAGATCATGATATTTACACAAATTATTATTTAAATAAATGCACAGGTGTTGATAAAGTTTTTGATTTATTAGATAAAATATCAAAAGAAACCATTGGAACCTATAAAATTTTGTGTGATTGTGGTTTCATTATTGAAGATACCAATAATGTTTCATATGAAAGAACAGCACCGAAGGAAGACGAAGTGGAAAGGTCTATACCATTCGTTATTAAGAATATAAAAGATATGAAAACGTTAAGCATTATATTTATTCATTTATTTCAGAAAAAATGGAAGCAACCCATAAAACATCTTCTCATCATTTTATAGCTATTCATACATTCCTTTTCAAAGTTGTGAAATTAAATAAGACAGGAATTAGATTTAATGTATCAGGGTACGCATCTTGAGTAAATTAAAATGATTCGTCACGTCGCAGATGATAAAAATTTATGTGTTCTTAATTCATTTTATGGCTTTAAAAAATAAACTTTATTTTTATTATTTTTTAATTTTTTATTCTTACATAAATGAACAAAAACGGAACAGCTAAAATGAATGATAATCAAATTAGAGCAGAAGGTAGAAGGTTATTTAAACGCTTCTATAACATTCCTGATGGTGTTAATCCTAAAACTCGTAGAAGCTATTTAAATGAAGCAATAGATGCATATGAAGGGTTTGACATTTCATCAGAAAGTGAGAGATTAGCGAGAATGTTAAATGTTAATATTGATTTCTATTATTGTGATCCTCAACCAGAAGACGTAGACATAAATAAGGTAGACTTTCCATTAGTGGAATCAATAATGATAGATCCAGAAATTTGAAACAGTAAATATTTTATTAACACAGAGTCCATGAGGAAAACTTCACGCTGACAGAATAACAGACGTTGAAGCACTCACCGGCTATAAAGTTTGTCCATATTGTAAAGAAGAAGTTTATTCTATCCGTGATGATCCAGAAAGGAAAAAACCAAAGAAGATTTTTAAAGCATTGTGAGAAATGTAAAGAAAATAATGGAAGATTAATTCAAGACGTTCAGTTGCAAAAGACACAGCAACCATATGCACCACATATTACAAACAGAAGATATATCAGTGGTTATTAGCTCACAATTGCAGAAATATTATAAACCGACAAGATATTATATTACTTTTGACTTTGAAACATTAGAGACTAAAGAAGAATTACAACTTTCTGAGTGTGCAACTTTGAATGCTTACTTAAAACCATTCATGGTATCATCAACGTTAAATTAAACGATAAAACATATACGAGGAATTTTTGCTTAACTTCGAGTGATTCTTTTATTTCTGATTGGATTGAGTTTTTTATTTTCAACCTGTTCATTAGTTGTTGAATCAAATATGAGTCAATACACTGAATTATTGAAGTCGCAAACGGCTGGGACTTTGTCCCATACATTAAATGAAAAACAGAAGGAAGCATTTAAAGAACTTCTAGATGAGGAATTTCAATAAAGTGAATATCATAGGTTTTAATTCGGGAAAGTTTGATTTAAATTTAATTCTTCGTGATTTAAACACTGCAAAATGGAAAATAAAATCAACGCTGGGTTCATCTTCACAATTTAAGCAAATCATTGTAAAGAAAACAAACGTCCATATGAATTGAGATTTATTGACATCAGAAATTATATAGCGGGTGGGACATTAGACCAATTCACTCAAGATTTCGGAAACAATAAATCACGTGAAATACTTTTTCCCTTATCAATTCATCACATGGGAGAATTACGAAGAAGAATTATATAAAGAGGAACCATTCACGAAAGATTCATTTTATTCAGCATTAACCAAGAAACTATATCAGATAGTGATTATCAAATATATCTCAATGATGCTAAAAATTTTAAGAATAGATTAGAATATTTTATTCATTATTGCAATAAAGATGTTGAAATTATGATTGACCCAATCGATAAAATTATTGAAGAAACATTTGTTTATAAAATTGACACGCTTCATAATCTTTCTTTATCATCGAATGCTTCAATGATTCGTTACGCTTTAGCATATAAAGACTTTAATCCTAATGAAAAATATCCTGAGGAAGAGATAGAATCAAGTTTTGAATTAACGAAAAAGTATTGGAAATATAAAATTGAATCATATAAGAAACAAGATGAAAAAGCAGAAAGGGATACTAAAAATAATGTTTCAATGGATGATTTTCAATACTATCACGATTTAATCCTTTCATCTAAATGCAAAATGTGTGGTAAAGCGTTTACATATGCAAATAAACCAACATTGGATAGAATCGATAATGAAAAACCACATACCAAAGAAAATTGTCAGTTAATGTGTTGTTATTGCAATGTCGTAAAATCAAATAAAGATGAAGATGTTCAACGTTTAAGAATCAATTTAAGAAATTATGCATTAAAAAATAATTTACCAATGACTTTAGATTCAGTTGAAGCTTATCACATTCTCCGTAATGGAATTACTGGTGGTTTATCAAATGTTCAACATAGAGTAAATCTTAAAGGAATCACGCACATTAATAAACTTGCATATAATCCAGAAACTAAAACTGTATCAAATGAGGACACCACCAACATTATGACTCATTTCGTTGGTGTTGATTTTAATTCATTATATCCTTCATCATTTTCATCTAATCCTCATGATTTCATTCAATATACTGACCATAAAATGTATATGCCGGGAAGATTGAATGGTGTTATCATTTGTGATACAGCAACAAAGAAAGCAAAAGCACTGGGAATAATTAAGAAGAAAAATACTTTATTCGTGGCTGAAGTAAAGGGTCACATTGATGAAAAATACATTAATGATTACATAAACTTTTTACCGATAATAAGAAACTTAGATATTATCACAGATGAAAAAACAATTGGCAGTTTTATGTATAATTACATGAAATCAAACAATCTACCGGTTGACCAGAAACAGAGGAAATTAACTCAGTTAGCATCAACACAACCAATATCAACCATTTTCTTCTTATTATCTTTGGTATCTAATAGACAGATTTCATTTTATCATTGATGACATTCAATCAATTTTAACATTTACTAAAAACACTTGTTTTAATGAATTTGCGAACAAATTTATGAACGAAAGACAAAAGGCTGAATTAGAAGGAAATAAAGGAAAAAGTTTATTTTGCAAGATTTCACTTAATGGATCATATGGTTACGATGCAATGAATACACAAAATTACACAAAGACTAAAATAATGAATGCACAGAAGGCACGCGTTGCATGTATGTCAAATAAGTTTAAAAACATAAGAGAAATAGGTGAAGATACATATCAAGTGATGCTTAAAGATAGATTTTATAGATGTGATACATGTTTACAAGAGGCATTCTTCACTTTAGATAATGCTAAATACTGGTATTTGGTTTTCATTTATGATTTTATGTATAAATGCATGAATGTTAATCGTTTTCATTTCATTGAAGGTGATACTGATTCATCTTATTGGGCAATCGCTGGCGACCCAAATCTTCCTAACACTCAAGCATTTCAAGCAATTGTTACCGATAAACAATTTTATGATAAAAACATTTTCAAATTCGCACCATTTGATTTCTTCTGTTTTGATGAGAAATTTAAACCTAAATTAAAGAATAAAGCTGAAGAAAAAGCACATGAGAAGAAGTTATTGGGTTTAGCAATTGAGAAACAAGGTGATAACATGGTTGCTTTATGCCCTAAGTGTTATACATCATTCAACGGTTCAATTGATGGAAGTGATTTTAAAAAGATTGCACAAAAAATGAAAGGTGTTAGTTTACGACAAAATAAACAATTAACACCTAAAAATTATTTGGATATAATAAATGATAAAGTGATATTTGATGGTCAGAATATTAATTTACAACTTAAAAACGGGTCAATGACTCGCTTAACAATCGGTAAGACTGCATTAACAGGAGCACACACTAAGGCTGTATGTTGTGAAAATGGATGTTGTATGCCATTTATTTAATACAATTTAAAATTTTATTTTTAATAAAATGCCACAGAAGAGACAAAAGGAACCGTTAATGATGGTTTTGATACTATGATTCAAAGAGGCGGGCACCCTTAAAACACTTATTTTATTTTTATATAAATGAATAGCGCAGATTTAAAAAATTTAATTTATGATTTAGTACTTAATCAAAAATTCATATCTCCAAAAATATAATAAAAATATAACGGGTGATGATGTGGATTATTATTATCCGTATTATAAAAATGAAATTTTGAAATATCATGATAAAATAATTTCTAAAATTAAAGACAAAATTAAAAATAATGAATATACAAAGGAAAAACTAAATCACAACTTAAACAATTGAAAGATTTCAAAAATAAAGTATTAACAGAAGAAGATATTGATGAATTATATAAATTATATAATCATGAGCCGCAAAAAACAAAGGAACAAAAACAAAAGGTGCAAAACGCCAGGTCCTTCAGACCATAAATGAAGCACAAGCTTTAATTTATGATTCATTAGTTAAACCATATTCAGCCCGACTTTTAAATGAAGATCAACTTTTGGAATTCATCCTTCAACATAAACTCGAAGCGGGAAAGTATATCAAACCTTTATATACAACATATTTAAAACAAATGAATAGAATACATCCAGAATTAATGAAGGGGGGAATGAAATCCAAAATCAAAGCAGATAAAATTAAACCACTTGCAACACCAAAACCTCCAACGACAGTACCGCCTCCTCCTTCAGTTAATCCTTCATCATTCACTTTATTATATCCATTTCAAACATTAAAGAAGCAAAAAGATTTTAAAAGGATTTCAAGATATTAAATAAACCAATTGACCCGAAAATTCAACCGTTAAAGGAAAAATTTAGTCGCCCTTCATTTGCTCCATATCCATATTCATACGAAATCGATCATCTGGAATATTCAAAAGGAAACGTTACTTATTTATTTGCCATTAACATTAACACTAGATATTTATATTGCATTCCAGTGAAAGGGAAAACAGAACAGGAAACAAGAAGAGCTATACAATACTTACTAGATCATGAAAGAGTAGATAATATCAGGGGTGATGGTGATAAAGGATTTCAGGCAGCTATGGCTCATTATTTCCCACAAATTAATTTTTTCTTTTCATCCTCTCCATATACGTTTCATAATAAAATAGTTGATGCGGTAATGAGAACTCTTAGAGATGCGTTAGGGGTTAACGGTCAGATATACTGGGATGGAAATCATGACTCCATCATACAACAGTTAGTATATTATTACAATAATACATGGCATAGAACTATAAACATGAAACCAGTGGAAATGAAAAATGATATTTCAAAAGAATGGGAATATATTAGAAAGCAAATGGAAAGGTTAATGATGTTAAACGTGAACAAATTAATTCGGGGCTCATGAATTTTAAACAAGGGGATAAAGTTTTGATTCATCTCGATTATGGAAAAACTGATAAATCAATGACAAAAAGAAGACGAAGATTTGGCACAATAGCTGAATTTGTTAGATATATTAACGGCAATGCATTAGTTGAAGTTGACAAGAAATTAATAGAAATTCCGATTTATTTTATTACTCCATTATATTTAAATAATATTTAATTTTTTTATTTCGTAAGAAATGAGTGACAACAAAGCAGCCAAGAGTCCAGACAATGAATATAAAAAGAAACTAAACAGAATTAAATCAAAAATATGCTATTACAAAAAGAAGCCGCAATGCGGTGGGGCTGAAAACGATAAAACTAAAGTAATTGAAAACGATAAAGAGAGGAAAGAAATAATCGAAAAATTAGAAACTTACCGTTCAATCCTTAAACTGAGTGAAGCAAAAATAAAAGAATTTAATAGAATAAATAAATTGATTGGAAGAGATGAATTTAATAAAGATGAATTTTTAAACTCAATCCAAATTTAATTTTTATTCCTCTTCGACAACGTCTCTTCGAGACGCCGAACCCTTCTGGATTCTTCTCGGCTTTCGTGGTTTGTTGTTTTTAATTCGTTCTAGCATCATTTTTATCATTTCCTCCCTTGTTATGATTCGTGGTAAATTTTGAGCTTGTGGAGTATTCATTTCTGCAGTTCATCCATTACTTCATTACCTAATTAATTACAGACATAAAATATATTTAGTTCATTCGGTACCATGCAAATACAGTCACAAATGGTGGCATGTAATCTTTACCCAAGCCTGTTGGATTTGTTGTGAAAGTATGGACATGATTTCCTCCTGGTTCAGTTTGTCGAAAAGTCTTTTTTGCTGAATTGTTATAAGATGGAGATAAAACGTCATTGCCAGCTTTATAGTCTGAGTTGTATAATGGGTGGTCTCTTAATGAGTGGCTATGGTCGCCAGAAAAGTTTGTAGTTCCTGTATGAGTGTGCGGTGGAAGGTTTGCTTCTTTAATTTTCTTTGAACCACCGGCTTGCTTTAAATGGTTAGCACAGTATAAGAATTTGTCTACAATCTGCTTCCACGTACCAAAACCCAGAACTGTTGCGGGATTTGTTGAGTTCATTGACGTATAAATAGAACCAACAGGATATAATGTTTGAAGTATTTCATTTTTCATGCTTGTAATCACATCATTTACTTCCGACTTCTTTGCATAATTTTCATCAACATAAGTTTTATCTGCTTTAAGGTCTAAACATCCTGAAACCCATCCTGTATCAGCTTTAACTTTAAAAGTCTCCGATGTCCATTCATGATACCATTCAACCTTTTCTTTAATTTCATTATCTTTTTCATCAACATAAACCAAATTTGCCTTCTTATTTAATTCACTATCCACATATTCCTTATCCACCTTCTTCATTATGTCGTTTAGGAAACCTTCTATGAATTCCTCATTTAAATTAAATCTTCCAATCTTCAAAACTTTAGGAAATGCATTTAATGCGTAATATCTCTGTTCTTCTGGTGGAATTGATGTTATATCATCCGTTATTCCTTTAATTTTTGAATTCATAAATAAAATTTCTTTTATATTTGATATCACTGCACCACCTTTGCAAACGAATTCGAAATGGTCATTTTTCAATACTATCTCCAAATCTCCATATTTCAACCTTTGCGTTTGTTCTGCCGTCTTTGAATTATATGCATATATGGCGTATGTAATGGTCTGAAGGACCTGGGCGCTTTGCGCCTTAAGTTGCTGTTGTTTAATCATTTATTACGATTTAAAAATAAATATTTAATCCGTTATCTCATCAGCTATTTTCTCTATTTGAAATTGCCATAATATTTCATTCATAAATTCTAAATCACAATCAAATAGGTCAGTTATTCTAAATTTAATATTTGATACATCTTTTGAATGAAGAATAAATGAATTTCCGGATAATTGAAACGGATATGATAAAGAAAATGTGTTTAAGTTGATGGATAAAATGTTTTGTATTGATGGGTAAGAGTTAGGGTCTAATGTTTGATGTGAAAATCTCAATGGGGTATTAACTTTATAACATTTGATTAAAATGAAATTGGAACCAGTGTCAGAATACAAAACATCACCAACATCTTTTTCAAAATTTAATATCCCCAACAATGAACGAAGATGAGGAGTACAAAATTTAATTTTCAGCGGAAATTTAATAAGGTTATTTATTTCATCAAGTTCAAAAAGTTTATCGGGTTTTGATTTAAAATTTTCTTCATACCATACGATAAATGATTCATTTAAATAACTTAAAATCATGTTAATATCCCATTTCGCTATCACATTATTTATATACATATCATACGTTTTTTCAAGGTCATCTTTAATAAATGATATATAATCTGAAGGGTCTAAAAGAATGGGATTAAATTTACCACTCACAGAAACGAGAGTAACATTATAAATTCCGCTAACTGTTAAATTTAATTCACAGCTATTATTCGAAATAATATTGATAATTGACATTTTTATTACGATTAAAAATATGGTAAAGCGTTATTTTCCAGTGATAAATAAAACTAGAATAAGATTACCTCAAGAATTCATAAATTCAACGAATAAGAAATTCATTCATGTTATAAATTTTAGTGTTTTCAGAAAATATGAGTCGATGTCATATTCATCAACAGGTTATATTTCACTTCATTCAAATTTAGTTCAATCAAACCCATATAATGACCATTTCATAAGATTTTCAGATGGTATTAAAAATGTAATTGATAGATTAAAATATGAACAGATTGACAATATCGAATTTTTGGAATTTTGGTTTAAATATCCCGATGGAAAAAATATTGAAGTTAAAGATAAAGCTGATACTATAACAAAAACAATTACAATGACCGATCCGGATAGTGGGGAACAAAAAGAAATAAAACAAACGATAGAAACTGGTGAAAGGTCAATTATTATTGATTATGATTCAAAGGATTATTATTCGATAATATTAATGCTTGAATATTAAATAGCCTTAACAAAGAATTTTTCAAGTGATATTTTATATTCATCAACCATTTTATTATAAATATCATTATATGTTAAATGAAGTTCAGTTGTTGTTCCGTTCTTTGATATCTTAATTGTGCTAATATCCTTTATAGGATTTATTTTTGCAACTGTTCCGCAGCATGAAACCTCATCATCTATGAAAAATTGAATCTTAACGTCTGAATCTTGAACATCACAAAGAATGGCGATAATGTGAATTAATGATTCATAAGGTAAAATAATTAAACCGGATTGGTCAATTAAATTTATTATTGAATCATAATTATTAATTATTATATCACGGTAAATTTTCATTAATTCAGAATTAATGTCTATTTTATATGGGTTCTCGATGTTTGATGAAAGAGGTGGGGGGTATGTTGGATAAGTGGGAATTTCAACAGGTTCTTTACCGGGTTCAGATAAAATGATTGGGTCTCCATCTTCTTTATTTTGCTCCTCCTCCTTTTTCGGTAAGTCACGAGTTAATAAATTTGGTTGAGTTGCTGACCTTGTTAATTCAGGGCTAACATTAACTTTAACATTTTGAATAATTCGTGATATATCATCATTTACGTTATAACCAACCGTAATCTCTGCTTTTGCGTTAGTGTTCTTTTGACTAGTGAAACGTCTTCTCATTTATATTCGAATAAAAAAATATATTTAAACTTTTATTTTGCTGGAAGTTTTGAATCTATTATTCCCTGTATTTGTTCTTGAAGTTGATTTTTAGCTGGTTCATTGTAATTAATAGACCTAATATATTCATTAATTGCATTCTTATAATCATCTGATTTCTCAAATTTTCTTTTATCTAATTCCTTAACTAAATCATAAGTTACCCCGTTGCTGATATAATGGTTTCTTAATTAAATCTTTGAATGCTTGAGATAAAGCACCTGATGCAATTCTTGCTAATATAATTGGTTGGAATTGATGTTTAAGTTCATCTTTAACATTTGCGAAAACTGGATCGAATAAAGCAACTTTAAAGAATTTCTTAGCTGAAATTTCAGGTCTAATATTTGCATATTGACCATCAAACTGGTTAGAATATCGTGGTAATCCATCCGGTCCCTCTTCAATAGCATTTAATTCTTCATTGAAAAAAGAATATGGATTATAATGGTATGAATTAATTGGACCATTTTCACCTTCTCCAATGTATTGTTTAACAGCTTTTCCATTTTCATCAAATTGCATAGGATAACGTTCATTATATGCTTTACGTTTAGGATAATCAGTTATAGTTAATTTGTAACCATTTATGACTTTAATATTACCTTGACCATCAGTAACGAAAACTTCATTTATACCATCAGGTTTTCCATTTGGACCCGTAATGTCTGCTTCGTGTGCTTCCCAATTTGGACCTTGACGTTTGGCATATGCTTGAGCTTCTGGTAATGTTAAAACGTTTCTCATTTGTTTAACATCTTTTTGAAGACCAGCAACAATATGAACTAATTCTTTCATTCCATCAGGAACTTTCATAGTTCTATTATATGCACCCTTTTTGTTTGTTCCTTGTTTTAATGGAACCTGTAGAAGATGTTGTGCATGAAAAATAGCGTGACTTCACTTTTGACAAAAAGTGACACTATTTCTGATGGTTTTGTCATTTATTTGTCAGATTTATAAATGGATAATAATGCTGTAAATCAGATATTAATTAAAAATATTTAAGATTTATGTTCGAATTGAAAAGCAAAATGATATTTTTTTTAATTGAAAAACGTTAATATCTGATATTTTGAAGTTTTTAATATTTGTTAGTATCTTAAATTATTGAATGCATACGTTTTTTATGTTCTCAATTTTAAAAAATTGTGAAGAATTTAGTTTTTTGGAGATGGATGTTTAATATTTGTGAGTGAGAATGCAAGCAGGAGTTTGGTACTTTAAGGCTAGGTTGAGATTGATTTCCCATTATATTATCTGTGAATATATTGTTTGAAAATTCAAGATATAAAATATATTATCAAAAAATTTTATATTTTTAAATACAATAGGGTGGAAATATAGTACAATGAGATAGCAATGATATATTTTATAATGGGAGGTAATCTGAAGATAAGTAGCAAATTTTATGCGATTTTGATTGGGAGTTGGAGGGTGTGAGTACTATAGCATGTAATAGTATCTCACACCCTCCAATTCTTCCTATGGCGCCGAAAAATTTTTGGTGAAATGCGACGACATTTCACCAAAAATTTTCGGCGCCATATAGAGAACTATAGTCTGCGAGGTACTGATTCTATCTATGTACCTCGCAGACCATAGTTCTCAGCCAAAATGGCTAATAATTTGAGAGTCTATATGATAATGTAAAAGTTAAAACATTCAAGTATTTAAGTATTTCTTTAAAATATTAAGTTTTTTATTTTTCCAATAAAATTCTAATATCAAATATTTTATTTAACGATTAATTTTATTTATATTTTTATAGTTTTTTTTAAGAAAAAATATTGTTAGGGTTTTATGGATTTTCAATTAATATACAAGATAATTCATGAATGTATATATTTCCAAGTTTTTAAGGATGCAACACTTTACATTTGTAAACTGTCAAAAATGAAGTCACGCTATTTTTCATGCATTACAAATGCAAAAATTCTCTATCAAAATTTGAAATAGAAAGTGTTTCAAATAATTCATCCCGTTGTTTATCAATAATTTTATCCTCTATTCCTTGCTTCTTGATTGTATTATATAATTCTTTATACATTAAAAGTTTTTTAAATAATCTTCTGCTTCTTCTTGTGATAAATAAATAATTGGAATTTTGATTAAATGCTTTAAAGATTCAAATGTATCATCTGAAGGTGAACCTGAACGGTTGATATAAATTAACACATGTGAATAGGGGGAAGTGTTAGCAATAATGATAATTTGTTTTAATATCGTTAATGTTTTACCTTTATTCTGTTTACCAATTGCTGCAGTGATTGAATTTAAGTAACATTCTTCCTGGTGTAATGCATTTATCCTCTAAAACTTCCATCTTTGTGCATGAAATAATAACGTCATCAACTGTTGCCTCAGCAGATGTAGCGGCTAAGCTTGTAATTAATTTGGTAGGAAGTCCGATTTGTTGGAATTTGCGATCATATTTATAAACATGATTCATAATCTTTTCATAATTTTCATCAGTTATCTTTTCATAAACGTAATTTTGTAAATCAGCAACTCTTAACGGGTCAACCTGACAAAATACTAAAGTATCCCTGAAAACATAATATTTAAGAATGATATCACCAAATGATTTAGGATAATCATCGAACGCCTGAAATGCTAACAAATCATTTACCGGAATAATCATATCAAAAGTGACATCAACTTCTTCATTTGCTTTCTTGAAAACTTCTGAAGGGTCAATATATTTACCACATACTGAGTTATCATATTTTTGAACATTATTATATAACGAATGAACAAACTTTTTAACTTTCCTTTCTGATTTTGGTTTATATGTTGCAAATGCGAAAGATTCACGGGCGCAATCCATCTGAAGATAACCGGCATCACCTCTTTCGGTTTCTACTTCTAATTGTTTAAAGCTTTGATTTGATGATTTGTAACCAACGAATAAACGCATGCATTTAAAAGCGGCATCACATGTGAAAGCTTTATTTGAAACTAGAGTTGCTTTAACTTTGCGTTTAATATATGTGTCACCTAATTGGTTCACATCATGAGCCGGATTTGTAATTCTTAAATGAGTTTGTTTATCATCAAAATATGGAGTATCAGAGTCATAGCATGAACTTTCAAGTTCTCTATAATATCTTCTACCATCATTCTTTGCGAATATTTCATTTATCTTTTCGAATGAATGAAACACATTTCCATTAATCGGTTTAGTGTTTGGCACCAAATAGTTAGTCGTCATTTATTAATAAATAAAAAATCAAAATTAAAAGATGGAAATGAATTTTTTTAATTTTAATGAAATAATCAACTATGGCTGCAGGTATATTTAAAAAATTATGGGATAAAGTAAAAAGAGGAGCGCATAAAGTTTGGGAAACAATGAAGAAAGGAGCAAATTGGATATTTAAGAATAAAGAAGCAATTAGTGACGTTGCTGAATCAATAACACCAAAAGCTGCCCCAATAAGAGAAGTTTTAAATAAAGGAGAAAAAGTTTATCAAAGACTACAACCGATACTAAGATAAAAATAATTTTAAAATAATTTATTTTTCCACTATCTACCTCCTATTTTATTAAGTATTCCTTCAGCTATTCCACCAATTGCGTTACCTGCTTGTGCTCCCATCGCGGATTACCTGCTTTAGTACCTAATACTCCACCTATGATAGTTCCTGCCGTTTTCGCTACTGGTGCCAAAAAGTTTGCAACGGGTTTAATAATCTTTTTATGAACCCAACCCGCAGCTTTCTTAATTCCATCCCATAATTTTTTAAAGAATCCTGCCGCCATTTCTGATTTAATATTAATTTAAAAAATATATTTCATCACTTATATTCTAATTTTTATTTAATGATAAATGAAACCGATTTTAAAAATAAATGAAAGTAAAAATGTTCAACAAAAAATAAACGTTGTTAAACCAATTACTGAAATAAAAATTTTTTCATCTGTTGAAGAATTTAATGACTATTATGCTAATAATAAAAATTATTTGAAGAATTGACAACGTGTAAATTGAATAAAATGTTTAAAGTTGATGGATTCAAAATTTCAAAAATAAAAGGAGTGGTTAGTTTGAAATCTATTCCTCAATCAAGAATCACCTCATTAATGAAAATAGATGATTTAACAAAAAGAATAGAAGAGATTGAAGAAAGAATGAATCAAATAATTGATTTCATAAATTCAAATAATCATTAGTTTCTTAAAGTTCAATGTTGAACTCATCAAATTCTTCTTCATCATTACCATTACCTTTAGCGAGTTTATTTACTCTTTCAACTCTATCTTTTGATAGTCTTGCGTTTAATTTTTTCTGAAGTTTTTCGTTACCAAGTTCTAAAATTTTACATGGATGATATTTAAACCCGTTAAATTCTTTTTCCTCAGTTTTAATCATTAATCTACAAAGAACTTTAGTGAGGTGGTTTTGTTGTTTAAACCATTTATCCTTAATATTTGTTATAAATTCAATATCCGGAATTAATTCCCAAATTTTTGAATTTTCGATTAATTTACCATCAAATGCAAAAGCAATAGGTTTAATATTAAACTTACCTTTATAAAATAAACTTTGTATGTAATCATCAAAATAAACGTCTACTTGTTTAACCTGGGTGAGAATTGGTGAAAGTTTATTCATTAATTGATTTACAGTCACGAATTTTGATTCACTCATTTCATACAAAATAAAAAAATAAAATAATAAACATAACTAAGTTTTAATTTTTCGTAAGAAGTTTATTTCTAATTTCTTTTACTCGTTTATGACTCCATTGATTCCATTCAGGATTTAAACAATGTTTAATTAATCGCGGAATATCTGACATCATCTATATATAGCTTCTTTTATAAAAGATAAAAAAAATAAATTATTTTAAAATTAATGTTAATTTTTTTAATGATTTATTTCATTATGTTTGGGCTGAGTGTAAGTGTCTTACAATTTTGAAAATTTTTTAAATCTTGATTTATTCAAAAACGTAAGAATAAAAACCGTAAGAATCATACATTTTTTACTTCATATGTTAAAAAAAATGATACAAAATCGCTCGATATTGTATGAATTCTTACGTTTACAAAAAAAGTCACTAAACCCATCATATCCTACTACTATTTTGTAAAACACATATTGGATGATTTTAACTTTGTGTTGTTCATGAAAGGAGGTAGTGACGCGCCCGAATGGCTATCTCTACCGCTGGAGGCCAGATTTTTTTATAATATTATTTTTTCCCCAAGAACCATCCCCAATTTTTGGGTTTATCAACCAGAAACGTCCACTATACACGGGTAATCACCAAAACCATAATATTCATGGGATTCAAAAAAAAGAAAATTAATTTATATAACATTTTCTCAAAATATTTGGAGTATTTCATAATCTGTATCAAAAATTAATCTTTATTTATTTCTCAAAATTTTAGAAAATAATCATTGTTCTGCAAATTTATTTCACTTTTGACCTCACTTTTCCCGTAATTCAATTTTTTACTTTTAATATTTTAGATCTTCATAATATCATTTGAAAAATTAACTATATAAAAAATCAAGTTATCAATTCACTTTTTCCGTAATTCAAAAATCAAAAATATAAATAATATATCTTTTTATCAAATATTATTATTATATTCTATGAAAAATGAGGTCCGGAAATTTTGCGGATTCCCGTAACTCAATTTTACGGAAAAAGTGCAGTAAACTATTCAAAATACGGGAAAATTGGTGTAAACTAATGATTTTACGGTAAAATCACGGAAAGTCCCGGAAGAATATATGTGCCTATATGAAATTATACAAAAATGAATCAAACGCATTTTAAAAGATTGTTCTTGTATTATAAATGCTATTCGCAGATTTATTAGTTGAAGAAAATTACCAAATTTTTGCCGGTTTACAAAAAATGATTTACAAAGCATATTTTTATAAGGCTTAAAAAATCTTGAAAATGTGACCGGTGACGGAAATCCATGGTAACCAACCGCGGTTCCCGTTTGGAATGCCATAGAAATAAGTACAAAAAAAGGTCGCACTAATGTAAAATCTTTTTCCGGAATAAGGTATAAAATCTTTCGATTTTGAATTACCCATACAAAAAAATTCAAAACACGTTTTAAAATTGAGGCAGTATGATCAAAATTGAAATAGGAAGTCTACACTTCCTTATATTTTTTTTGGTCAATAAGTAACATTTTTAAGAGATGAATCTCAGATGTGACATTAATGGATCATGTGTTATTGATGGAGAATATATGGAACTTTTGATTCTAATTCTAGTATTAAAGACATCGAAATTATTGGAAATATTAAAAAAATACCTTCATATTGTTTTTACAACTGTTCTGAATTGGAATATGTTTCTATTTGTACCAAAATTTACAGAATTGGAATTTTTGCCTTTGGATTATGCGCCAAACTCAAGAACATTTCAATTCCAAAATCAGTTAAATCGATTGGTGTTGGATGCTTTGGGGTTTGTACATCATTAGAACAAATAATAATACCAAAGTATTTAAATAAAATTCAAGAGGCAGCATTTTCAGGCTGTTCTAATCTTAATTCAATTATTTTCCCAATTTTTCTAGATGAAATCTCAATTTATGCTTTTGCGTACTGCCCTAATTTAAAAAATATTGTGTTGCCAGAAAATTTAAAGCGTATTAAGATGAGAGCTTTTGAACAATGTTCTGGTTTGACTGTAATTATTATTCCTGATTCTGTTGTAGAAATAGACTCAAGTTCTTTTATTTTCTGTGAAAACTTACAAAGGATTCAATTGCCAATGAGTATGTCTATAAGTAATGATATGTTACTAATCGGAGGTATATTCCCACAAAATTGCATCATTAATTATAAATTTAAAAAGAATGACACAAAAATTCTTTCATATTCATATTATAATAATCAGAAATTAACCGAAATCAATTTAAACAAGATATTTTTTGGAAACGAAACTTTAGATTTACCAGAAAATCTGATTTCAATAGAAAAATGGTCATTTGTGGATTGTCCGAATCTTGAAAAGATAAATTTGCCTGCAAGTGTAAAACAGATTGGAAAAGAAGCCTTTCACGCTTGTGAAAAGCTAGTTACTGTCATTTTTAATAGTCTTGATATTTCTCTGAGTTATCAATCATTTTCGGATTCAATTGCATTCCAATTTCCAGAACCAGAGTATGGTTATAAAGCTTATGAGTATTCTAGGCAAGGAAATGAAGAGCTTACAATTCCAAGCAATATCACATATCTTCCTCCATTTTGTTTTTATGATAGTTTCTTTGTTAATCTATCACTAAAGTCCATTAAGAAAATAGGAACAAATTGCTTTGCTGGTGCACGAATGACTGAAATTGATCTCACAGGTGTTGAAATTTTAGGAGGCTGCGCATTTGCCAATTGCCCAAATTTGGAACGAGTAATTTTATCTGATTCTCTCATAATGATTGGTGAATATGCTTTCTATTCTTGTGATCAATTGAGAATCTTAGAATTTAACACTCAACATTCAATTGAATTGCAAGAATATGCTTTTAGTGATTGCAATGGATTGGATATATCATTAATCTTATCTAAAATTGAATACGTTCCTGATTATTGTTTTGCATATCTAAAAAATGTTCAAGAAATCATAATCCCATCAAACATAGAATATATTGGAGATGGTGCATTTTCTGGTTCATATGAAAAAAAAAAAAAAAAAAGAAAAAAAAAAGGTATTGGGGCTTCCAGGCACTTCGTGCCCTCTAGCCCCGAAGATGTTTAGTATAAAACCGCTTTTTAACTTCACTTAAATGCCACGTAAGCTACGTAAGAATATACGTAAGAGGAAGAGAGCATTGAAACATCCAATAGTAAGACTAACACCACAACAACAGTTGCAACAACAAATGCTGAATGACCCCACTATGTTGCAACAAATGTCAAGCAATCCTATGCTTTTAAACCGAGTTGTTGGTGCACAGAGTGGAGGTTTAAGAGCGGCACTTTTAGCGAAAATGGCAGGCTATGGTGGAGCTGCAGACGGAACAGCCTATAACCCTCAAAGTCAAATGAATTTGAGTTCACTCAAAAATCAAATAACAGATGTCAAAAAGTCAAACATAGACATACAGAAGCAAATAAGTGAAAACGAAAAGAAACTAGAATAAGACAGACACACAAAGAAACTCAATGAGTTAAACGTAGAGAAAAGAAGAAAGAAGAACAACTGAAAGAACTAAGTACAGAGGAATATGCGAAAAAAGTGTCAGAAAAAGCAACAGAAGTAGCAAAAATGGAACAAGATGTCATAAATTTGAAAAACCATACTACTCAATATAAAATACTGAAAGATGAAGAGATAAAACAAAAAGCCCTGAAGACATATATGGATAGCGATGAGTATAAAAAAGAAGTTGAAGCAAATGTAAAGGCAGAAAAACTTTTACAGTTGCAAAACCAAACCGTACAGTATGAAAACTTAGCACAAGAAAGTAAAAATAACGACGCAGCCATGCAAAAGGCAATGAAAAGCGCAGAATATATAAAAGCTAACAATGACTGGTTAGATGCCCAAGCCAACGCTAAAGCAGCCCAACTCATAGGGTCAATAAGGACAAAAATACAAGCGGATGAAGATAGTTCAAATGAAGCTTTAACAAATGCTGACTTTAAGAACGCTTTCGAAGCTCTTCATAGTAAGGTGAAACAAGTGAACGACTTCTCATCTGGAAAGAAACTGAAGTCTGAAGGTTTCGACAAAGAGTTAAAAGAAGTAGCACAAAATATGACGAAAATAACAGATGCAGCAACGAGACAGGCAGTTCAAAGTGCCTATGACGCCGTTAGAGCAACTGTTGTGAAAAGTCAAGAAAAAGAGTTACAACAGACCAAAACAGACCTAGTAAATGCTTTCTTAAGAACGAAAAGTCAGGTAGGACATTACGCTGCAGATGGAACATATGTGCCAGCTGGTGGAACTTATATACCACCAAACCCTCCAAGAGAAGCACCTGCACCAGGACTACCTAGAACATTTACATCGTCACATGGACACAGACACAGGCATGCACCAAAACCAACACAACAACCAACACAACAACCAACACAACAACCAGCACAACAACCACCTCCACAACCAGCACAACAACCAACACAACAACCAGCACAGCAACCACCTCCACAAACAGAGCAAGGACATAAAAGAAGTAGAGAACAAGGAAACCAAGAATTCTTAAAAATGCTTAAAGAAGACTATGGTTACCCAGATAGTATTGACTTTAGTGACAGATATAAAGAAGCTATTAGAAAGTTCAAGGATGGAAATACTGACCCGAACCTATTTAGCTTTATGGCTCTGCACCAAAGGGGATATAATCTCAAACCTGGAAAATACAAGCTCGCTAAGGGATATGATTTAATAGCATATCATCCAAATGACATGAACGAATTTACTCCGAGATATTTGATGTCAGAGCTAAATGACAATTTAACTCTCTTCATGAAACGCGTAAAAAATAGAGACGGAACGAAAGAAGAAAGGTTTATGAGTCCGGATGACTTAGAAAGGGAACTTGTTGAAAACGGTCTCGGAATATATGAAATGCCAGCAGATGAGGTACAAGAAACTCCACAGGAAGAACTAGTTCAGATACAACCAGACATGGAAGAAATAGTTCAGCAACAACAGCTAGAAGAGCCTGAAGGAAACGAACAAGTCCTTCCTTTGGAAACTAACTTCACAGAACTAGATGAAGATTTGGAACAGCCGAAAAATCTTGACCCTCAACAAGAGTATGCGGAGAATATGGAATATTTCCAAGAGTCTAAAAAAAATTCGGCTGACATAGTAGAAGAATATCGAAAAATGTTTGCCGACATACAAAAGACTCCAACACCAGATGAAAATATTCAGCATAGAATGGAAGCACTGAAAGAAAATGTACACAAATACAACAACCCTTTTTACTTACGAGCATTTAACGTTCAATCTTCGGATGAACTCGGTGAAAATAAAAGGTTAAATTTCAAGAAAACATATAGAAATGAAACATTGTTTAAAGTTCATTCAGAACCTAACCAAGATGGAAACAAACCTACTTTTGTTTCTGCAGACGATGGAACTACAATGAGATGGGGTCATAAAGCTAACCCGGATAGGTGGTTCATAAACTTACAACCTCAATTCCAAGAAGTTGTAGACGCAATGGAAGTCAATGGTGAACCAGATATAGCTGGTATTTTAAGCGCGGCTTTAATGCCATTGAAAGATATGAAACATGCAGATATTTTGGACCAGTATGAATGAACATGGCTGATGGAAATATAACACCTGACGTTCTAGAACATTTATCTCAAAGAACTACACAGAACCATAAAGATGGTATATTTGGTGAAGAGTTTAGAAAGAAAGTTATGGACAGAGAAGGAAGAGAACCTATTGTACATGACCTTGCAAATGAAAGTTTGCAAAATGTCATAAAAACTTACTTTGCAGACAATGAACCGAGAAGGGATGAATATTTAAGAAAACTCAAATGGACAGTACCAAATGAAATGTTAGTATTGAAAAACATGTTCCTTGACAAAATAAAACCAACTACAGAAATAAACGACGCAAGACTGAAAGATTGGGTAAAAGCTTTCCCATTCACAAAAGATATAGTTGGTAACATGGAAAGAAAACCAGAATGGCTACAAAAACATATATTTGGAAACGAGCTTATTCCATATGGACAGGCACTGTTTGAAGAGCTTGAACCGGAAACTCAGGAAAGAGTCATGCAAACAATACGCGACGACTCAAATACAAACTATGACAAACTCTTTCTAGGATATAGGTTACCTGAGATGGGCGACCAGAGCCCAAAGGCAAAAAGGACATGGGAAATTTGCAACATACTAGATGAACATAATGCAAAGATGCAACAACTTCAAGCAGAGGGCAAGTTACCAAAGCGACACCAAAGAAGAAGAGTAGAACAAAGTGAAAGTAGTGAAGAAGTAACTTCATCTAGTGAAAGTAGTGGCAATGAAGGAAAAAGAAGAGTTAAAAACTCAGTCAGGAAGAAAGTAAAGCTTGGTCCACGTGGGTTCTATTATGACACATAAACCCAACTATTCTATATTTTTACACATATGAAATGTACGCCGCTCAGAATATAACGCCAACAGTTTTGGATGCCATGAATGGAAATGTTTCCGAATGGTATAACGAATGCGACAATGCCATTAGAAGGTCAGAAATAGTTCCTGGAACTTACGAATATACAACTGCTGTTTCTTATGGAAACGTAGGTGAGTTTGGAGAAGGTTCTTCAACAACAGTAGATATTGCTTGCGACAGGTTTCATATAATTTCTATTGACAACTCTTTCTTATACGTGGAACAAGACATTGAAATAAAACCTTCTGCCAAGTTGTCTGACAAGAAAGGTTGCAATGGAATTTTCTATGTCGGATACCAATATGCTCCAGAAGTTTTCATGGGATATAAGATATATTCTAACTCTGACTTAGTTCAAACAGTAACATGGGCAAACTATGAATGGTTCGCTTTGAGAAACTCAGTACAACCACAAGCTAGAGAACAAACAGACCAGTATGCAACTATTGAGAAAATAAGAAACTTGACCCTAACGTTCCAGGAGTTTATGTTAACCTTTCTGGTTCAGATGGAACTGCAGTAACCAAAGTAAAATTGAAACTTAGAGTTCCTTTGTCATCTTTCCTCATCTTCGGGTTTTTAAGATACTTGCCAAACTGGGCAGGAAAAATTTCTATCGAACTTACTCCAAGCAAAAATAACTTAGTCATTGCACCAACACAAGACCCATTCAGCATTGCTGTAGCTGGAACTGGTGGAGCCAAGTTCTGTGACTTTTGCAAAGACAAAGTTGACTTAGACTTTGGTTTCTCAAACCTCAACACTGAAGTAAACTACTACTTCAATGCTGCTGGAACTGCTTGGGACCCAGTTAAGTTCACATGCGAAAAGTTTGAATGCAAGAGAATAGAAAGCAGACTTGCAGTCTATATGTTGGACCCAGATATTTCAAATGCTTTAGCTGCCAAATATATTGCAGTTCCACTTATGTTCCCTATACACCAAATATCTGTCAAAGACTTTGCAGGTGAAGTTGGAAACCAAAGTGCTGACCCAGGTGCAAGAACAGATATTGCCTTAACAACTGCAATGAAACATGCAGATACTATGTTTGTTCTTTTCAGACGAACTATAAATGACTATTCTTGTTTCTACAACCCCGGTATTAAATATCATATAAACATAGATGGCAAATACTATCCAAGAGAAGAATATTCCACAGTTGAAGATATGAGGTCATACAACTTGACATTAGATGCTATGAACTTTAACAACAACTTCACAACAACCATTAACCCTGAAATGCAAAGTTCTATTATGCCATATGTGAAAGTATGGACCCATACAGGAGCTCAAAACACTCAATATACAAATGGAGACCGTTCAAACTTTTGGCTTGCATTCCATTTGCTGACTCAGAAGACTTTATGGGTGGTATTTCAACTGTTGGTACAGTTCAAATACAATATACTGGTGACAGAGACGGTCCAAATGAATTGAAAGCAAAGAAGTTTACAAAACCAATAGCACTTTTCACGGAAGATGCTCTTTTGAAGATTCGTTCGATGAAACCTGCTGGGCTCCTCAGATTGGCATAACGACAGCTTCCATCGAGCAGATTTTGGCAGCAGGTCAGTAAGTTGTTCTTGAACTGACTTCTCTCCGTCAAATATTGACAG